GTGCCCCGACGTCAGCCACGTCCTCGTCTACCGCCGCACCGGCGCCGACATTAACATGGTCCCTGGCCGTGACCTGTGGTGGCACGAGGAGGTCGAGAAGTGGCCCAGCTACATCGCCCCTGAGCCCATGAACTCTGAGGATCCCCTCTTCCTCCTCTACACCTCTGGCTCGACCGGAAAGCCGAAGGGTGTCATGCACACCACCGCCGGCTACCTGCTCGGCGCCGCCCTGACCGGCAAGTACGTCTTCGACATTCACGAGGGCGACCGTTACTTCTGCGGTGGTGACGTCGGCTGGATCACCGGCCACACCTACGTCGTCTACTCCCCCCTGCTTCTGGGTGTCTCCACAGTTGTGTTCGAGGGCACGCCCGCCTACCCCAACTTCTCAAGGTACTGGGACATTATTGAGAAGCACAACATCACCCAGTTCTACGTCGCCCCCACTGCCCTGCGACTGCTGAAGCGGGCTGGTGACGAGCACGTCCGCGGCAACTTCAAGTACCTGCGCACTCTTGGTTCCGTCGGCGAGCCCATTGCCGCCGAGGTCTGGAAGTGGTACTACGAGATTGTCGGCAAGGAGAGCGCCCACGTTGTTGATGTAGGTTTTCCTTTTTCTCTAGCCCGCCTCTTAACCCGCTACCACCGCGAATTATGGGAGACGGCGAGTGATGGTTTGAGATGTGCTGACATGTGTTATATATAGACCTACTGGCAAACCGAGACCGGCTCCAACGTTATCACTCCTCTCGCGGGCATCACCCCCATGAAGCCCGGCAGTGCTTCCTTGCCCTTCTTCGGCATTGAGCCCGCCATCATTGACCCCGTCTCTGGCGAGGAGCTGCACGGCAACAACGTCGAGGGCGTCCTGGCTTTCAAGCAGTCATGGCCCAGCATTGCCCGTACCGTCTACGGTAGCCACAAGCGATACCTGGACACCTACCTGCACGTGTACAAGGGCTACTACGTAAGATTTCCATCCTCTTTGCTTGCGATTGCTTGAAGTACTTGTCTGACATGGACGTGCAGTTCACCGGTGATGGTGCCGCTCGTGACCACGAGGGATTCTACTGGATCCGCGGCCGTGTCGACGACGTCGTCAACGTCAGCGGTCACCGTCTGTCAACGGCCGAGATTGAGGCTGCTCTGATCGAGCACCACTCAGTCGCCGAGGCTGCCGTCGTTGGTGTCTCGGACGAGCTGACCGGCCAGGCCGTCAACGCCTTCGTTGCCCTCAAGGATGGCAACGACGCCAACGATGCGCTGCGCAAGGAGCTCGTCCTGCAGGTCCGAAAGAGCATCGGTCCTTTTGCCGCGCCCAAGGCTGTCTTTATCATTGGCGATCTCCCCAAGACGCGAAGTGGCAAGATTATGCGCCGCATCTTGAGAAAGGTGCTGGCTGGCGAGGAGGATCAGCTGGGCGATGTCTCCACGGTACGTTCTTTTCGCTTTTGGATCTTGTAAGACTCTGTATAACTAAGTGTTTGGTATAGCTGTCGGATCCCTCTGTTGTGGACAAGATCATTGCCACCGTCCACGAGGCCAGGGGAAAATAGGTAAAGTGAAATCGAAATTTGGGGGTTCAGCAGGTTTGGTTTTTTTGCATATAGCTTGTCAGTCAGTACAATTGGGTCAAGGTTGAGGACGGCGGCCATGAAGACAAATGTCCGCCGGAGGGTTTAAAACCAGGGTAATACTGGAGGGGAGACTGAGTTCCTCTCGCTTTTTCGGATGAGATACGAGATGCCATGTAGCAATTGATATCGAAGACAACAAAATCGGGGTTTCCTATGTGATAGTTTGGGTACGGATCATCTTGTGATGTGATGGTTGGCTGACAGAATGATGATTCAGCTCAAGGGGTGCTGACGATGAGAGAGGCCAAGGCTGATGAGGTCCACACGCTGATGAGTCGAGGACGACGACGCGCGTACACGATGCTTGCTACTTGTCCGCTTGTGGCTTGTTAAGAAGGCGAGACGTCAAAGCCGAGAGGTACATAACTTGCGATTAAGGTTTGGCACATGGGGTTTGGGGGTTAAGCTTCTTCGATGCAATCATTGGCCTTTGCCGAGGCGCTTTACCGGGTACATAGCATGCTAGCAAGTTGGAGTCTTGAAAACAACGCCCTAGGCCAAAGGCGGTGCATTCGAGTTTTGTTAAGGCAAGGGATGGGTCAAGAGACAGAGAGAGAGAGAGAGAGAGAGAGAGACGAGGGCTGTGTAGGTAGATTCGTCGCATATCTGGTGGCTGAAGCCTGGTATTGTGCGAGTTGTACATACCTACATAGGGTAGGTACGCTCGGTGTGTGAGAATTCGCCGGTTTGGGGATGGATGAGGAGTAAAGGGGATTGGCGGCGGCGGCGGTGGTGGTGGTGGAGAGGAGAGGTTGATGTTTTTGTTTGTGAGAATGAGCGAGCCAAGACTGGCGATGCGGGCACAGCCTTGATCGGAGCGGACCCACGCCGATGATTCCGGAGGGAAAAGCCATAGAACGATGCTTTTGGCAATGCCTAGGTACTTTGGTAAAAAACGTGGTTTTAACGGGAGGATATTAGTTGATGTGTCCCGGATGAAATCAGTGTTCCGGCCGTTGTTTTGCATCGGAGTTAACAGGCTAGGGAACGACGTGAACCAACCGGTCGAATTATTGATGGACCGAGTACAGAATGTGTATGTGGAATCTGCGCCAAGACTTGGGAGTCGTCATGAGGCGCATGTTTGTGGTGTGTGTGTGTGGGTGTGTGTCAATGTTGAGTTGGCTTTGGGTTGAGGAGAAAAGAAACGATACGAGTCTTTTTGTTTTGCGTGTTTGGAGTGATGAAAGATTTTTGGGATTGAGATGGATACCTGTCGGTGTTGTTGATTCCGATGGCGGCTCGTGCATGGCTGGCTTACATCGTGTAGATGTGAGAGATAATCTGAGGATATACTTTGTACGGGGGGTGGGCTGAAGCTTGGGTTGGCTGTTGAATAGATTGTATATTTCAAGTACAGCTCGTGTTGTTTCACGAACTACAGCTCGTGTTGTTTCTGAGAGGCTGATTCTCCTTTTCTGTTTTGCTGAATCAAATTTCATGTTGTTGCCGTGAACTTTGGTCATGGGGGGTTTTCCTTTCTTTTTCTGACCATTTTTGTGGCCGAGAGTGGCTCAGCTTTATGTCTTTTCCAAAGTGAGAAATCGCTTGTTATGGGGGGCGTTCTGGTGCGAGACGAGATGAGCTGGTTTTCACTGGGCACAATTAACCTTGATTTCTTATTCGGTGGGCAAGCGATGGCGGGGTTGGGTTGTCACTGTACCTTATTGGGTACCTACCGATTGAACGAACAGAGAACGTCTCAAGCAATCATATTCTCTGCACTTGTAGACCGTCTGAGCAAGGTGCTAGAAATATGGATCGAGCACTACTGCATCTTGTCTGCGATTCCAATGTCTCGATCCGCCAGACTTGATTGATCTGATATTACAATGGTCCATACTACAGCCCGTCAGATACGAACGAAACAAGCGCCAAGGGTCTGGATAACGTGGGCACTCTATTCTTGGGTCAGCAGCGGGGCTGAGATGGGATGAGATGGATCTTCGGGAATGAGAAGAAGCAGGTGAAGTGACACGAGCCCGGCGGATGGCCTGCAGGGGTTTTGATTTCCGCTCCAGGGACATGGAGGGTCTCAGGCAGGGCCATTTCCTGGGCGTCGTACGGACGTCAGTACCTGTACCTACCTATGCACAACAAGGGCTTGAGTGGTGGAGGCTGAAAGGATGGATGGGAGGCCTGTGATGCCCCAAGCCGGCCATGGGACGACAATATGGGATACACACGCAGGTTGGTATCTTTGGAGAGAAAGGAGATTAATAACAGAAGAGTCAACTTTGAAGTGATTTCACACACACACACACACACACACACACACACACACAGACAAGATAATAATGATACCTGCTAGCGCTGCGCGTAGTCTCGCTGCATAGCCACCCCGAACAGAACAACAACAGCACCCGAGCAATCGTGCAAAGCCCACCTCGAGAGATCAGACGCGAGATGGATCCATCCGTGCATCCAATTGCCATAGAGGCCAGGCGCCTTTCCACCCCCCCAGTCTGCGCGGGCCCTGCTGTCATCGACCACTAAACTGCCCCAGCCTACTCCCCTAGCGCTCTCCCAGTATTTGATGCTTAGCGGACCCCCCCCTGAAAGAGCTGTGCCAAGCTGCCGAGTCCACAGCGCCCAAGCCAACTGAAACCCGTCATCTAATGATTTTCGCATCCGAGTGTCAGCTTTGTAGGTAGCTTCCAGTTAGGTTTGCATTCTCTCCCCTCCCAACTCTTGGACTCTCAGCCTCTCTCTCTTGCTTCGTCTGAGCAACTTTCCATCGCCCTTTGCGTGTCTTTTCGTGCTCATCATTTTTCTCTTTGAATTTTTGCATAGGCACGTCCCGATCTCTCCGCTTCTCCACTCTCCGAGATCGCCTCCTAGCCTGGCTCGGCTCTTCTCCTTCGTCGTCTTCCCTTGGCTACGTCTCCAAAGTCCGATTCTTCTGCGCCACGCTGACGGACGCAAGCCCTTTTCTTCGCTTCTTGGTCTTTTGCTTCCCCAACGAGGATTTCTTTGTTTTTAAAGTTAAATAAGAGAGCGACCAATCCGGCCCCGGTCCAGATCCAGGGCTCCTACTCGCACACGTTCCAGATGGCCTTGTCTGTGCAATAATCCCAGCTGGCTGTCCCTCCCCTCGTGCTTCTGGTCCACGGAGTACCTGACCTATATCAACGCTGCCGCCTCTCTTGAACACACGCCTGAGGCGGGCTGTTTGTTTACCTGCAATCTCTCTCCCCGCAACAATGGTTGCGCTTCGGTCTCTTGTGGCCGCCTTTGCTAGCACTGCCCTGTTGGCCCAGTCCGCGATCGGTATTGTCTTGTCTTCCCTTTGCCTGTGCCTGTGACTGTCTCTTGTGTGTCCCAGTCTGCTGACGGTGCATTCCTTTGACGTCGGCTGTATTAGCCCATTCGTTGAAGAGAAGTCCTTTGGACTACGTCTCTGTCATTGACAATGTCAAGATACACACGCCATCAGGCCGAGTCCATGCGCATTCTGCCTTCGACCTCACATTCTCTATTCACGATGGAGAGGATAAATTCCGACTGTCGCTGCACCCGAACCACGACATCCTCCACGACGACTTGGAGGTGACGTATCTCGACTCCGAAGGAAAGGTCAAGTCGGTAGAGAAAGTAGAGCGCGGGGAACACAAGGTCTATCGAGGCGATGCCTACGTCGAGCGGCCTGGAGAGGATGGCTGGTCGCTGGGCGGCTGGGCGAGAATTACGATGCACCGTGACGGCAAGCATCCGGTGTTTGACGGCTCTTTTCGCATCGATGGCGACGATCACCACATCCACACCGGCTCCAAGTATATCAACATCAAGCACGAGGACGATCCCTTGCCTTCAGACTGGCCGGAAAAGGACCATGATGAAGTCATGGTTGTATGGCGCGACTCTGATGTCCGAGGCTCGCTCGACCGTGGGGAACTCAAGCGCGACGTCTCGAAGCCGTCAGAGTGCATCTCGGACTCGTTAACCTTCAACAACCAATTCGATCTGGAGCTCAAGCGATCAACTGGGCTCCGAGGGATTGACCCCAGGAGTCTCTTTGGTCGCCAGTCCATCGACGGAGGCTCCAACGGTGGGGGTAGTGGCCAGGACCTTATTTCCAGCATTGGACAAACGGCTGGATGCCCTACGACGAAAAAGGTGGCCTTGGTCGGCATTGCGACCGACTGTACCTACTGGAACGGCTTCAACTCATCCGAGGAACTTAGGAAGAACGTCATCGGCATGGTGAACCAAGCCTCCCAGGTGTACGAGAGTGCATTCAAGATTTCACTGGGCATCAGGAACTTGACCGTCCTCGACCGCGGGTGCCCAGGCGCCCCCTCTGCCGCCACGCCCTGGAATGTAGGCTGCTCAGACAACACCACCATTAGCGATCGACTTAACCTCTTCTCCGCCTGGCGCGGCAGGTCCCTCGACAGCAACGCCTACTGGAGTCTGCTGACCACCTGTCCCACAGACGCCGCCGTTGGGCTGGCCTGGAGGAGCCAGGTCTGCCGTCAGGGGTCAGGAACCAGCTCGGACGGTCAAGGTAACAACGAGACCGTGGCTGGCGCCAACGTCGTTGTGCGTACCTCGACGGAATGGCAGGTGTTTGCCCACGAGTCGGGACACACCTTTGGAGCCGTCCACGACTGCACAAGCTCTACGTGCCCCGTTGACCCCTCCTCGCAGGCATGTTGCCCGCTCTCTGCTGGCAGTTGCGATGCCGGTGGACGATTCATCATGAACCCGTCGACAGGCACCGGCATCACCCAGTTCTCCGCCTGCAGCGTGGGCAACATTTGCTCCAGCCTCAAGGCGGCGGCGCTGTCGAGCTGCTTGACCGACAACAAGAACGTGCCCACTATCACCGGCAGCCAGTGCGGCAACGGCATCGTTGAAGAAGGCGAGGAATGCGACTGCGGCGGCACCCAGGGCTGCGGGAACAACACGTGCTGCGACGCCAGGACCTGCAAATTCAAGAACAATGCCGTATGCGACCCGTCCAACGAAGATTGCTGCAATGACCAGTGCCAGTTCGCGTCCTCTTCGACAGTATGCCGCCCCAGCACCGGCGAGTGCGACGTTCAGGAGACGTGCCCCGGCGACGCAGCCAGGTGCCCCGACGACCAGCACAAGTCCGACGGCGATGGGTGCGGCAGTGGCGACGGCCTCCGGTGTGCTTCGGGTCAGTGCACCTCTCGCGACAGGCAGTGCCAGGTGGCCGTTGGCACCTCGGCCGATAACAGCTCGACCACGGCATGCCCAGACACCCGAGACAGCTGCACCGTTTCCTGCTATACTGGGCAATCAGCCTTTGGGCAGCGCCAGTGCCTGTTGTTTGGGCAAAACTTCATCGACGGCACACCCTGCGGCTCTGGCGGTCACTGCTCCAACGGAGAATGCGAGGGCACGTCCACGGCCGGAGAGATTCGGGACTGGATCACCAGCCACAAGGAGATTGTCATTCCCATTGCCGTCGTCGTCGGCGTCCTGCTTATTATCGTGGTCGTAAGTGGCATCATCAGCTGCTGCCGCCGGGCAAGACGGCGCGCGGCGCCCAAGTCGTCGCCTACGGCGGCGGCGTGGACGCAGTGGGGAGGCAACCAGAACCGCTCGGCAGCGCCTCAGTATGGCATGAATGATCTTCAGCAGCAGTACGATCCGCCGCCGCCTGCGTACGGGCAGCAGCAGCCTCCCGAATACGGACAGCCTCCTCCTGCTCCTCCTCCTGATCAGCAGTGGAGGCCTAGGATGGAGCGGTACGCCTGAGAGCGTGGACATCACTGGCGAGTTGCACTTGTTTTTTTCTTTGCACGGTTGTTTCTTGATGTTTCCTCGTTTGTTTGTTGTTCAAGGAGGCCCCGTGTGTGCGCCTTGCTCATGATTAAGGAGCAGCTTTGGATCTTTCGGAGAGGGAAGTTGTGAAAAAGGTTATATATATATGCTTGGATAGTTAGAACCCTCTTTTGGCGTTTTCGGTTGGGGCACCATTTAATGACTTATGAGAGAGGGAACGGGCTTATATCCAATTTCTTGGGATATACATATTGGACAAGCATACCCATCGTTAGATTAAGAGATTAGTTGTGTCTCTACTGCCCGCTCAGTGTGTGTGCACCTCGTAACCAGAAACAGGATAGAAAACATTGTCAAAACTTTGTCAAGACGAGGCATAATCATTCTGTAAGAGCCATCTTGCTAGTAATCCATAGTCGGTCCCAGATCCAGTCGTTATGAGAATCGCTAAAAAGCTGTCCGTGAAAGCATATCCATCAGGTTGAAAAATGAACATAAAAACTCAAAGAGTAAAAAATACCATCATGAAAGACAAAAAGAGAGAGAGACAACAAATAAACGAAAATAGAAGTAAAAAAGAGCCAAGCCCAGCATCAGAAATCCCTCGGGAGACTCGCGCCCCTCCGGACCTTGATCTGCCTCTCCTTGGCGGCCGCAAGGGCCGCCTTGTAATGCAGATTGTTGCGCCAGTCCGTTTCGTCGTCGAAGCCGCACATCATTCTCGTGAAGCGGACTCTCTGGCCTGCGACGCTCTGCGAAATTTCTCAACAGTCTCAACGTCAGCAGCAGTTCTTTCTTTTTTTTTTTTTTCCTTTTTTTTTTCTTTCTCTCCAACACTCCCCCCCCAAGGGATTGGTATACGTACGTCGTTTGTGGTGTTTGCATACATCATCAACTGCTCCGGCCGATCCAGCACGGCCAGCGCATAGGCTCTCCGCTCGCGCATCTCAAAGGGCTCCGATCTGTAGCTGAAGCTGGATGAGTTAGTCTCGTCGTCCTCCGACTCCTCTTCTTCTTCTTCGCCTTTATCATTTTTGATTCTTTCACGTCCATTACGGCTTTAACAGCGACGATATTCCAAAACAACACGTCAGACAAGAACGCGCACACAAAAAGAGGTCAAGTTCACGCATAAAAGAAAAAAAAAAAAAAAGGACAGGAACATAAAAGGAGCGTGCTGAAGAAAAGGCCAAGGCAGAAGGGGGGGGGGGGGGGGGGGAGGTTGACAACAAAAACATACCCTTCCATTTGTCCATTTTCTCCCTCCTCCTCCTCTTCCCCATCATCATCATCATCATACTCATCTTCATCCGTCACGTCATCCTCATGCTTCCTGTGCGTATTCTTCCCCCTCGCCTGCCGGTCGCGCATCCCTGGCGAGACAACCGTCGGAAACGTCTTCTTCTTTGCGGGCTGCTGCGCCGAGTTCTTGCGGCGCTGCTGCTGTAGCTGTGGCTGCTGTAGCTGTGGCTGTGGTTGCTGTAGCTGTGGTTGCTGTGTAATCTGCTGCGCGCTGTGCTGCTGTAGCTGTGGTTGCTGGAGCTGTTGTTGCTGGAGCTGTTGCTGGTATTGGAGGTTGAGGTTCGCTTGTTGAGCCGACATTTTCTGTTTGTGCTTTCTATTCTTTTTTCTTCTTTTTGAAAAACCCGTCTTGGGCCCCTTGGGTGCCGCTTGTTCTGATGGGCCGCTTGCTTGGGGACTTGGTTCTGATTTGCCCTCCCTCAAATTGCAGATGACTGAGGAATGAGGCTCGCGTGTTTCGAGGAACAGAAGCTGTCGTTGAGCTGAGGAGGAGTGAGAGAGAGGATGAATGAATGAATGATTGAATGAATGGGGTTAGCAGCTCACGGTTGCCGGGCTTTAGTGTCGATTCGCCTTCAGGTTCGGTCCTTTCGGGTCCCCCGCCTTTTTCCAGGCGCAAAAGGCACGTACCTGTACCTGCACCGGTACCCAACCAGCATCATGATGCATCATTTCAGGCACAGTTACTGACAACCTACTATCGAACATGTATTATTATTCACTGCAATGGGACAAGAAGAAGAAAACATGCTTATGACTGGGACCCTGTCCCTTGTATATATATTGATAGTACTCTGCAGATTTATTGTACACGAAGCAGCCGCACTACCCCATACCTATTTCAAACACATGCTGTAGACAAAGAGAATGGCCATCGCTGGCTCCTTGCTCCCCGTTGCCTTGAACTCAATGGAGAGGCTAAAGCAAAGATAGAGCAAAAGGAGCATGAAGAAAAGACTAGAGGAAAGATGAAGAAAAAAAAGGGAAGGAATAATGAAAAGAAGAAATCCACTCGTACTCCGTACGTCCGTTTTATCCCTGCCCTTCATTCGAGTGTATCCGCATAGTCAAGATGATTAGCATAGTCCAGTCCAGCTCCCCTGCTGCTGTCCACATATATCGTGGTTCGTGACCAGAAAAAGAAAGCCCAACGGCGAATGCCGGTATACAAAAGGATCGATGCGATGGGCACTTTGGCCCAAGTCACGCGCTCGACCGCACCTCACCTCCCCGACCCATCTATCCAACTTATTGCTCAATGAAAGAATAAGAGAGAGGCTGGGGAGAAAGCAATTAGAGAAAATGAGTTAGGTGGATGGATTCCACTGTCGGGATGAGCTGAGCCGACTCACAGCGCCCGCCGATGCCGTTTCGTTTAGGAGTCTGTTTCTCCTCGCTTTCTCGTTTTGTTCCCGAGGGTTTCTAGAGGCACCCGGCCCACCCCACGTTCGTGAGCGTTCGCCCATCGGACATGTTTGCGTCTTTTCATCCTCAGCGCCAGTGACCTCTATGCCCTGAAGCTGATGATAGCAAGCTGTTGGAGAGCCTGATTAGCACATTATCCACAAGTCATATGCCTCTCAAAATATGGCAAAAGAAGATCGAAAATACTCACCCGACTGTTCGCGCCGTAAGCCAGCTTCTGACCAGTATTATCCCAGCACAAGCAGTGCTCATCCTCCTCCTCGGAGTCTTGGTTGCCCCTGAAATTCTCAAACTCGTCTCTGGAAGGCCTCCATACGGCCCGCGGCAATGAATGGCTATCGACCTTCCAGATCATGACGCTTCTGGGAGTGGCTCCTGCGATAAAAGCTCCGTCGGGAGTAAAGGCGAGACGCACGACAGGTAAGTCCATCGTGAAGAAGCACTTCGGTTTGCTCTCGGGTCTCCTGGCGTTCCAAATCAGAATGGCACCGTCCTCTCCTCCGGTGGCGATTAACCGCTCGTCGTCTGCGGCCAACTCGCCTGACGGCAATGGCTGCCAAGCCATCGTTGTGATTGATCCTTGATGGGCTGATATTGACCGGCGCTGCCCTGATTCGTCCCACAGCTGCACGGAGGTTAGCATTGATACCATTTCTACCCCACACGTCAGCTTTGGCAACTTACATCCAAAACGCCCTTGTCGCTTGATGTAGCGACGAGCTGTGACCGCGGGTCGAACAACACCTGGGCAAAGTGATCGTCCTCTTTCGTCTCAAACTTCCGAGTTCTCTGGATCGCCGTCTCGCCCACGGTCAGGCATTCAAACGTGCCGCCGCCGCAGATTAAGAACTCCGAGTCGCCGGTCCATGTCGCGTCCAGACCCGTGTCGAGGCTGTGGCCCGGGAGGCGGTAGCGGAGGGACTTGTTCGTGGCAATCGAGTGTACCGTCACCAGCGTATCGGTCTTGTTCTCTGGGGAGATGGCCAGCAGCGCCGTGTTGCTGGGATTCCACAGCAGCCGCACAACAGGCGGCTCCGACACGTCCAGCGCCTGGACAATCTCGCCGCCCGCAGACCACAGGTGAATGGCGGCGCGAGCTCCGCCGCAGTCGCTGGCAACGGCAATGGACGAGCCGTCCGACATCCAGGCCAGCGCCGTCACCGTCGTCGTCTTGGGCGCCTCGGGGTCCAGCAAGGCGTGGGCGTGGGGAGACACGTGATGGTCGCCTTGGTCGGTTGCCGTGGCACGCGAAATGGTCCAAACGCGGGCTAGCGCATCGGTCCCAGCAGCCGCCAGTATTGATGGGTCTGTCGGGTTCCACTCGCACTGCAGCAGGATGGGAGCGTTCTCAGAGCCAGAGCCAGAGCCAGAGCCAGAGCCCGAGCCAGAGCCGGCCGAGGGCGAAGGCGCTGAGTCGGTGGCGCAGTCGTCCGTAAGGCGGATGAAGGTGGTGCCAGCAAACAGCTGCTCGACCTTGTCGACCTGCGTGCCTTGCTCGGGGCCCTCTGTCCGCACAATCGCCGGCACCTGCTCGCCCTCCAGCGGCGACGGGTAGGCGTGGTTGTCGTTGAGGCTCTGGTCGTCGTCCTGGTGGTGGTCGTCCTGATGGTGGTCGTCGGGCTGGTCCACATCCATGGGGGTGCTGACGGTGGCTGCATCGGATTTGCTCTCGCAGCGGTTATCGAGCCGTGGGCGCTTGGGGGGCGACCCGTTGGGCAGTGAAGTGTGATTCCGTTTACGCGACAGCTCCGCCTCGTCGTCCTCCTCCCCCGGCGCATCCTCATCGTTCTCGGCGTCCTCCTCCATCTTGGCCGGCGGTTGCACCTCCAGCGGTCCAAAAATGCCGTTGTGCAGCGACTCGTCTTGTGCAGCCACATCTTCAGGCATCTGCTGCCGAATCGGATGGTTAGTCAAGGGGGGGGCCAAAGGGGGAAAAAAAAAACACAAGGGAATTCCAAACAGCGATGCGCGATTGGCGCACACGCCGCCCTCAAGCCCAATCGCGGCCATGAGAGAGAAAGAAAGAAAGGATCGAATAAACTCAGAGCGCCTCGGCAGAAGGGCAGAATGATTCAATGCGTACCTGACGGCGTGCATACTCTCGCTCGAGAGCATAGTAGATGAGGCCGCTGTTGACAACGGACACTAGAGCACGGCCCTTGACATGGCGCGCAAACTCGAAGTCTCGTTGCGGCTCCTTGACGTGCCATTCCTTCTGGAATTTGGCGGCGGTTTCTCTGTAATCTGGAGAGGCAAAAATGGTTCACGGGTTAGACTCTGATTTCTCACCCTGATCTGGTCCTACGGGAATGGAACAGAGGAAACGGGGAGGGAATAGAGATGGGGAGGGAAGAAAATCCGCGGTTCCACGTACTGCCTTCAAGCAAATACCTGCGCAGAAAGGGTCAGCAAAAAAAGCGTCTTGGGAACCGGAAAACCCGCCAGGGCAAACGGGGAGGACTGGAGACAAGGATTGGGCTGCAGCGGGTGTTCCTGAGACGGTGCAGTGCATGATGAATGGATGAAAAATGAGGACAAGGTAGAGCGAGAGGCGACAGGCGCAAGGCTGGCTGGCGGAGTAGCATTCGAGGGCGTGACGACGAACCTCCAGATGAGAAAGTTGACTCGGTCTGAGTCGAGAAATTCCTTGAGCACCATGGCTCCGGCGGTCCAGAATCGAGGGGGAGCGCGCCAGCAGGTGGCGGCAGTGTCACGGCTGGTCGTCGCAGGCGAGTCTGCAGCGGTCTGGTCGCAGGTGAGGCGTGATGGCGAGCCGTCAAAGCAGAGGCGGGATGACAGGCTGGTGGTGAGAGGGAATGCGTGAGTGAAGATTCAAGAGAAGATGGAATCGAATTCGGCAGAGACAACCTGGTTCAAGGTGCTAGTCCCAAGTACCAAGTACCAAGTACCTCCAGTCCCAGGCGTGCCTCCAGGTCTGTCTGTCTGTCTGTCTGTCTGTCGGTACATCCAGGCTGGCCCTTGCCATGCCGCGCATGGAGTGGTGCTAAGGTACTACTACCTATACGGTACCTGTAGCCACATTTCCAGTACGTGATTGTCCGCCACCGCGCGCGCCACATTCAAGTAGCCGCCGAGTACCGCCTACAGGTACATGCACCCGCCCTCCATTGCACCGGTCTTCCAGCCTGGACAGTCCAGAAAAGGCGAGGCGCCGAAAGAGAACCTTGAACACCAAAGACCCAGCCGATGGACTTGCGCTATAGCCGGCGCCAGACATTGACTGATCAAATCAGCTAGAAGGACTGGCGTCGATACTCTTGGTACCGTGCAACTGCCCGCAAGGACTCCCGTGCCCAATGACAGGGCCGGCTGAGGTCGCACTCAAGGCGTTTCCAAAACCTGAGGTCATGCTGGAGGGGGTCCTTTTTTCGAGATCTTCCCCCCCAAATCTGCCCCCCCTAGGCGCAGAGAGGTACTAATGGACTTGGCTGGTACTTTGCACCTTGCGAGGTACATCCGCCTCCACGGCCGCATTGTTAGCCTTGCCATGGGGGCCCAAATGCACACAAACGAGCCTCTGCAGCATGACACTCTCGCGTGTCGGCAGCCCCCAATCAGGCCAGGCGGAGGGCGGGTGTTTGCACATCGCAGCAGACGGCAGATTTGCCTGATCAAGGTACCTTACCTTTCCTTTGAGACCGGGCAGAGGCTCACTGCCAGCGGCTGGGCTGCCCTTGAGTGCCAGAAGGCGTTCGGCTTGTCACCGCGGCACGTCCAGGCCCTTGAAGCCACAGTTTTGCGATGGCCAAAGGCAAAAGATTACCGTAACCTAAAAGGCGGATGGCTCCCCTGTTTTCGAGATACGGAGCAGTACCGCAGCTGACGTCGCGGCAACTGCTGCGAAACAGGTACTGCTGCGTACTCGGCACTACTGCACTTAGTCGGACACGAAAGTGGACTGGCCTGGCGCTAGATTGAGCATTCAAATCGCTGTGGAACGAGATAGCATGACGGTAGGGCAACGGGAGGAACGGGGGATTGGGGGGGAAGAACCCTAGTAGTTGGAGTTGACGCCGAGGCCAAGGTGCCGAGAACTTCTTGACAGAATGTCGAGTTCGTAGCCATGGCAGCAGATACTGACTGCTTCACCGGGGGGAGTCGAAGGTTTGATCCCTCACGGGGTCCTCGGGTTTCCCACAAATGGGGGAGACGGACGAGGAAACGGCAGTGAGACGGCAGATGGAACTCGCACGTTTCGCCGCCGTTGAAGAAACTGGCTTGCGGGGACGAGTGAGGTCGCCCAATGCGTGCCACGATCTGACGAGTGCGTGCATTATTACTGTACCTACCTTTTATCGGCGAGAAAGATTTGTGTACAAAAAACAAGGTACTGCCGCCTACAGTGATGATGACCTGGGTTACCTTATTCAGTACAGTGTACGAAAAAAGGGCTCACGTTGGCACCGTCACGAAATCGGGCTCGACAGCGTGGCAGCGCCGCGTGCCAGCCTCGAGGGGCGAATGAGGGCTCGGATCTGGGAAGAGAGGCAGAAGGGAGGCATTGGGAGGAGGTACGAGTACATGATAGCACCGGTTCCTAGCGTCAGTGGCGCCAACCGCTGGTTTCCTCGTCAGTCAACCCCCATCTCACCTTGTCCTTGCTTGCTTCTGCAGTTGCTTCTCATTCTCACAATTCTCGTGATGCCTGCCTGCTTACCTACGAGCCGTGTCTCTTCCCACCCCCTGTCTCTACGACCGAATCTTCTCCGAAGCCCAGAAGCTGGGCTGAACGCCTCAGCAGAAACAAGGGAACAGCGCCGAAACGTTGATTTCCCGTCGAATCCGCTCCAGCCAAACCGCTGTATTAACCGTCACGAACTCGGTTAACAAGAGAATCCATGGCCCGAAAGCCTTGCAAAGGGGGGGAATTGGAGACTCGTCAATTGCACGTTGTGGAAAGTCAAGCTTGGGTTGGCAAGGTACTTCGTACACAAAGTGTGAGGGTCAGAAAGTCCCCGGAATTACTAGAGGCGCTGCCGAGACAGGCACTTTGCCCTGGTCCAGGGTTGTGTCTCCAGCTCGTAGCGCAGCCCCAAAAGCCTCACTGGATGGATGCGGTGGCGAAGTGCAAAGGTCGGTTGGTCTTTGTCTGCAGCAAGCTCGGCTGGGCCTCCCATCAGCACAATCGAGATTCCGATCGGCCAAAGGAGCACGTTGTTTTCATTCGTTCCCCCGTCTGGACGACTTCCACGCCTCGCTACATCCCGTTCGTTTTCCGCCTGCGTTTCTCTCTCCGTTTTCTCCGGGCTCTGCTGCTGCCACGACACTAGAGACGACAACCCCCGGAGCGCGCCAGCAGGGCTGCACAAACAAGCTGCGTTGCTGCATGCTGAGGAATCTGAGACGGATTGCAGATCGGCTGGGCGCTACTCCAGAAATGGAGACACGGCCTCGTTCCCTCTCCATGTAACATGTAAGGGAGGAAGACCTGATAGTGCCTGGACATCCCGCGCCCCGCAGGCGTTGGTTTGTCCTTGGTCTGTCCGTCCTTGGTCCCCCCAGGTCCATGCTCTGGTCTTCTCGTGACGGCCACGGGATCTCGTCAATTGGGCTCATGGGACGAGTTCGTTACGAAAGGCCTCGCTGCTCCGGGATGTGCTAACTCTTCTCAATGCTTGGTTCGCCTACCTAAAAAATCACCAGTGCTTGATATCCTCCTCCTCGACGATTCCTTTGTCCCTCGACGCGTCGTTTACTCAGCCTCTGAGAACGGTGGCCCTGAATTTCAAGATGCAGAGGCAGGTTGCTTACTCGTACGCGCAGCGCACTGACGTCCACCATCCACCCTCCTTGCCTTGGAATTTTCTTCCGAGTCCTATCGAGCTGGCAGCACAGAGAAAAGCTTGTCGCAGCGGCCAAGGATGACACTCCGACTTCTCGCGGCCGGTCTCGTTTCCTCGCAGCAGCCTCCCGGCGCAAAGCAACGTCTTGGAGGGTGAGGTGACTTTATCGTCAGACTACGTGGCACTGGCACTGGTCACAGGCGATAAAGGGGGCGGGCGGCGACGTCGTGGGTGGTCCGGCTGGGAGGGTGGCGCCGCCGCCAGCTTGCCTTGTTCCTCCATGCCTGTGAAATGCATCCGTCCATCTGCACAGGGGTTGGGGTGACGGCTGCGATGTGCGTGCCGGTAACCAGGGGGTGCGATGAGATGGATGGCCGCCCAGGGCTTATTATAGCTCGGGAGACGGTGGATGAGACGAGGTGGAATGATGGATCCCAAGCTCGACCAGTGTGCATTTGGCGCGTCCGGATATTAGTATCACAACTTTGAAGACGCCAGACGGAAGGATGGAGTAACTGGACAGATGTTACTACTCCAGCACCAGCATTGCGAGAGCTGCTGCTTCGGGGCGGGCAAAGGAGAGGAGACAGGCGCTGAATCTCGCTTCGCCGGACCTGAGAAGCTGTTGTCACGGCAGAGCAGAAACTGCATCCGCATCCGCATCCGCATCCACGCCCACGCCCACGCATCATCCACGCATCCACACAATCCACAGTCCCCCCCAAAGAAAGAATCCGTCCATTCAAGGGACTCCAAACGCCAGGATCTTTGATGATGCGCCCCTCAAGCTCGCCCCACCAGCACCCGCGCCAAAGGACCGGCTGGCAAGGGCCACAGACGAGGGGGGACATACCGATGATTACGCGACCGACCAGCCAACTGCAGTCAAAAGCCTGGAGTCGTGACGGGATCAGGTGTGTGTCTCTTGTCTCCGAGCAAAGGGACAAGTAATATCGCGAGGCAGGCTAGAGTCGTTGGCTTCGAACGCGCATGTACATACATGTACGTCAAGTGCACCAGGCTCTCCATACAGATGGAGCACATGCACCTCGTACTTTGCACATGAGCTTGAAGCGTTCCGTACGACAGCCTCCCTTACCTGAAGTACGCACTCCCTATTTCTGGCCTTGGGACCTACTTATGTATTCCGCCCAGGCACCACCGCGATCCTTCCAGGGCCTCTCTTGGTCAATGCCTGGCTTGGAGAGGGTACTATCCAAGCGTCGTCCCTTTGTCTTCGACGATCGACTTCCGAGTATGACCAAGGGCCTGTGCAAACATTCAGGACGATGCGAGATCGGCTATTCCGACGCTGTCTCCTCCCATCTCTCGCCAAGTTTTGGTTCGGGACGGGTTCTCCGCCTGTCTCTGGTGGCCCCCGTATTCCGTGACACAAGCACCTCGGTAGTACCAAGTCCACACATGCAGCATGTAACCTGGCACGAATACATACCTTGCATACGTACAAGTACTCGTCATGCTTCACAGACAAAGAGGTTCGATTCGCACAAGGTCAATCCAGCCAGCCTAGTGTAGTAGGTACAAGTAAGAGGTAGTATGAGCATGGACGGGGTTTACACATGCGCAACCCCACATGATGCTCAGTTCAGTTGCAGGCTGCTGCCGAGTGAAGGTTGATGGACCCGATAGGAGAAGAGGCCGGTGGATGCCGTCTGCCGAGGATCTGCCACCGTTTGGAGCCGGTCATTGTTGTTGGTTCGATGGCTTGCTGAGTCATCATCACAAATGAAGAGAGCTCTGAGCTTCAGAGAGACGACAGGTGAGGATGATGTACGAGTATACACAAAACAGTCTCAAATGGGACTGGCAACCTGGGCTGCATCTGCCGGATCTAGTCGAGCTTTTCTCACAGCCTTTATAGAGTCTGCTGTCTTGCTGTGGCCAAAGTCACTCTGACCGTGCCTTTGATACAAGAATCTGAGAGCTTGAGATGCCGTTTTCGTGCCAGCCACACGACTATGTACTACTACCTACCCACCTGTACCTACCTTAGGTGACGCACCTACACTCCAAAAGACATTCAAGAGAGCCAAAAAGCCTGAATCACCAATGACGGCGATGATACTGCAACAGAGGCGTCAACAAGGCCATCACAATATCAGGGTACAGACAATCCCATCTCAAATATGCTGCAACAAGGAAAACCTGTGGCCGAGTCCGAGTACTGCTAGGTACTGTATCATCAATGGATGCCTGAGGCCAAAGCTTCACTAGCCAGTCGGGAGCTCCCGAGTGATTCGATCCCTTCAGATTGCCAGCATCCCTAGCATGAGGGCCGTTGCTTTGGCCACAAGCTGCGACAAACAGACAATTGAAGCGAAACACACGCCCGTGGCCTGCAGCGTTGCAAAAGAGGACAGCAAGCCCTGGTAGCCACTCTCTGCGCGTTCTCGCCAGCGTGCAAGCCTCTTCTTAGCTTTGCCTTGCCAAAGACCTACCTACTCAACAACCCCGCTATACAGATGAACTCCCGTGTGAAAATATCCCCACGTTGACGACAGCGACGACGACGACGACGACGACGACATCATCCCGCATCCCGCAGCAATCCCGCAAATCCCGTCGCCATGCCCCCGCGATTAAACATCCCGCCAGTCACACGAGCCCTGCTCGGCACTCTGCTCTTCCAGTCCGTCCTGAGCGCCGCGATTAGGTATCGCCAGTGGTCCGAGGATACGGACATTGTCATTCCGTACCTGACGCTCATTCCTCAGCTGTCCATCACCTACCCGTGGACGTTTCTGACGGCTTCCCTGGTCGAGGGCAATGTCTTCACGTTTGCCTTGGGCGCCGCGACGCTGTATCACGGCGGCAGGTATCTGGAGAGGGCTTGGTCGTCGGCGGACCTGGCCAAGTTTATCGCCATTGTCTCCTTGATACCGAATGTCCTGACGTTCTTTACAATGGTCTTCTTCTTCACCTTGACGAGGAACCCTGACTGGAGGTGAGCATGCCCATATAGCATCATTATACACATACCGTCGGGTGAGCATTGCGAGAGCTCTTACTAACATCTGCGTCTCTCTCAAGTCTTACCGTCATCGGCGGTACCATCCCCTTCCAGATCGCCTTCCTCGTCGCCTTCAGCCAGCTCATCCCGGCGCATACCGTCACGCTCTTCCGCGGCGTCATCTCCCTCCGAGTCCCCAAGACCCCCCTCATCTACATCGGCATCGTCACCGTGCTCTCATTCACACCACTGCTGTCGCGGGCCGCTTTCTGGCTGGCCAACTACGGCTTCCTCACGAGCTGGACATACCTGCGATTCTTCAAGGTCGTGTTTCCCGACCTCGATACGGCTCAGCCCGCGTCGCTGCGCGGCGACGCCAGTGAAACATTTGCCTTTGCCGAGTTCTTCCCGGGTCCCGTCAAGCCGTTTGTGGCCGCCGTGTCAGATCAGGTCTTCAACATACTCGTCGCGATTCGGCTTTGCAAGCCATCGGGGCAGCGGGGCATAACCAGTCGCCATGATAGCATCGCGCAGAGAGGTGCGCCGGGGAGTGCCCGTGCCGAAGCAGAGAGAAGGAGAGCCATTGCGCTGAAGGCGCTCGATCAGAGGCTGAATGCCGCAACCGCAGCTGCTCGACCCTCCGCGCCGACGCCGCCGCCAGCTTCTGCTCAGTCAAGCGGGCCAACCGTACAGACCCAGCCCCAGGCAGGTGCTCAGACGGCTATGAAGTCTGAGCCAGGCCCGATGCTTGGCGAGACCAAGTTTGAGCCCGAGGAAGATGATTCATAGAAGGCGGTTCATGGGGGTGGGACTATTTTGGACGCAAATCTACAGACGATGTGTTGGGATGAGACCTCGGTGTAAGGGTGATAACGGTGCTTTACGAATCACACGAGTGTAATGATATAAGCGGATTGGATTGGAGGATAGTAAGTTGGCGCCTTGGTGTTGTCACGGATCACGGGGTTAATTGTCTAGCCAGCACATGGGAAATGAATCGTGCTCTGCCAGCTACCTAGGTATATAACGATGCGGGGAACATGTCAATCTAGCATGGCTGCGCTGCTGTATTTCACAAAGTACACCTAGGGGGAACATGCAACACTGGCTTCTGCGTTTCATATTGTGCTTCAGCATGGGAAAGGCGGAGCCAAAAGAGAAGGAGAGAATGATGAGCCAACAATCATCGAGCTGGTTTGATGAGAGCGAGGCGACGGCCTTGTTTTTGGCAGTGCCAGATGTGGTGGAATAGGGCCTCCTATGGTACGACACGACGGCTCGATGCACACTGGTGTACGGAGAGATGGTGGACAGCTGGATGGCAGCAGATATCACAGACATGCAGCTGGGAAATGAACAACAGAGCGGCGGATACATGATCGGAAACAATGCTGGGTAGTACCGCATCACAAGGGGGAATGTACTTGGGTAGAGCTGAGAGATTTTGAGAAAGGCGAGGGACCTCCTTTGCCCACTTGCCTGTATGTGCATACCTACGCATCTGTATTAGGTTCATGTACCTTAGTTGACGGCTCAAGGGTGTAGCGGAAAATGCTATCGACAGCACACAAAGCGTCCATTAACGGTTATAACTCGAGCTGAACAGAGGGCTCCAAAGAGCATAGAAGGCAATTATATCCTGAAATAGCACCATCCTAAGCTTCAAGTTGCTTCCATTCGCCAGGAACCTTGATTGCCTTATATGTAGGGGGGAGTTGTAAAAGTCGCGTACGAGACAATGTGGCTTTTGCTCGGCGTCCCAGCATCGGGTAGAATAGAGAGGTATAGGTAGTACATGAGGATGCTAAAGGTACCCCGATGTGAAATGTCGTGCCATCACGGCTTTACTCCCCTTTTCCCCTCTCTCTCCTTTTCTCAGGGTTGAATGTTGGAGTTTGTGAGGGTGAGCCTACGAGGCTGCTTGAGGGGAGAGAGGGAGCCTAATTGCCTTTTTTTTCTTCTTCTTTTCCCAGAATGTTCTCCGCTTGTTTGAGAGTACATCTAGTATTAGCTCAGCAGCCATCATGAGAAGGTAGAACAAGCTCCACACACAAGTCTCAGATGGGCAGGCTTGATTTAAAGTGCAAGAGAAAAGATGACGCATCACCCCGGAGTTCGAGGCGCTCCCCCCCCCCTTTACATAGGTAAGGTATTATCACATAGGGTAGCAGTAATAACGAGCAATCTATCCAAATTGAGTGTCCGCCGGGCCTGTTCACCAGGCAGCTCTTTTCTCTAGGTTGGTGATACCATCCAATCCTTTTTGTCTCCCCCCCCCCCCCCCCCCTTGGCCGTTCGTTGTCGCCTCGCCTTTCAGGTCCGCGAGGTTAAGGCAGGGAGGGGGCGTGCAGACTCGACATTTCGCCGTGACACAAGTGTCAACTCGTTGTGTTGTCCAATGGCGAAGCCCAGGCACTTGGTCGGCCAGCCGGGACCGAAAGGAAAGGAAACACGTCCAGACAAGACAACGTTGCCCCGTTTCGCGGGTTCACCTTTACGTGTGTGTGTGTACGGCATGCAAGAGAGTGTGCTACCACGAGTGTACGGCATCGACAGGCTCGGACGCCGGAGCACAGAGCATCAGAGACTACAGGTACAGGCAGGTTGCATCCAGATGTACTCCGTACTACCCCGTACTCCCGTCATCCGAAGACCTTTGTCTTGCCTTGCCTCTGAGTTTTTTTCTTTTTTTCTCTTCCTTACTGAGCCAGCAAGAGAAACCTGGCAAGTCGGGAATCTGGCGGCTCCATTCGGGCAAAGCTCGTCCGGCAAGGTACATGGCGCGAAAAAACAAGTCTTTTTTGCATGAAGGGACAGATGGATAATGCCCTGCACGAAAACATGATCGTTGGCATTGACCGCACTCACAATCTGTACGCGATGCAGATGATGTGCAGCGCTTGGCATCAGATGGGAATTTTCTTTTCGTTGAAATGCCCACTGCTGGTGATGTGGACTGCCAGCACCATCAATCGCAGAGAGGCGCGAGGAACTGCGCAGTGCTGTGCTTCCCAGCCCACAAGGCCTCACCGAACCAATCCAACAAGGCAGCCAGCGCAAGCCGTACAACTACTTCATGATGAAGCAGCTAGGTAGTAGTGCGCGAAGCATTGGAGCAGCCCTGGCTAGAAACCGCTAGAGTGTGCGAAGAAAGCTTGGGCTGCCTGATAACAAAGCTGGGTGACGGCGCCGCTGCTTGTCTGTTTTTTCTGCTTGCCGCCCTCCTGCCGGGCCTCGGGGCTTCTGGACCTCTGGGGTTGGGAGCCCACACGCATCGCGTCCGCTGCTGATGGGCAAGGCAAGGGGCCGAGCTAGGAGATGAGCGCAGGAGGCTAGCAGTAGCAGGCTGGAGCTGGGAAGAGCCCCAGATGGCCAGATCCGCCGGCGGCTGGCTGTGGCACGTCAGAGAGGAAGTGTGTGGGTGGGCGTTGAGTGTTGAGCAGCTCAGGAGGTGCCCACTTGGGGCAGACACAGAAGAGAGGGGAGGAGGAGGAAGAGGAGGATAGTGCTAAGAGGATACATTAGCAAAGAGGCACGAGAATCCACCCGCACCAGGAATAGGCACTAAACCTAAGGTATCCCATGTACCAAGGGACCCACTGCGCTAAGTGAGCGGAGACCGTTGGCAGAACTTCTTTTTTTTCCCTTCCCAATGACATGTGGGCGGGTTTGCTGGAAAAGCGGGGCCGATCCTGACTCGGCACGGTAGGGGGTGTGCGCATGCAAGAAGCGCAGCGAGAGGGCTGGAACCGCTCACAGGGAGGAAAAGGGAGTTGGCGCACAATGGCCCCCCCCCAAGATGTGCGCATACCTAGTATACTAGCAGCTCTCACGGGAACATGACGCGCTCGGTGCGGTGCGAGTATCATGTATGTGTTAATACTCGTACGACTGCGTCGAACTGGCAGCATGCGTGTGTGTGTGTGTGTGTGTGTGTGTGCCTGTCCCTAGCGCCTGGCAACCCGCACAGCCAGCATGCGGCTGGTGGCCGAGCCAGCTTTGACCATTGACGCACCTCCATCGTCAGCAGGCGTGCTGCCCTACCTACATGGACATGGACATGTGGGCATACCTACATATGTAGCGTGTACTGCAGGGCACGCGGGCCATGCACCAGCGGCTCATACAATCTGATAGGTGCACGAGGTACTCGTACCTGCCGGCACGCACAGCACGTGGAGCACAGCTGTGCGCGCTGCTGCTGCTGCTGCTGCTAACGCAGAAAACACGGGCACCGCTGCAGCAGGAGGTATTGCAAGTACATACAGTACAGTACGGTACGTGTACTCCGAATCTGAGAAGATGTTGTGCCTCTCGTCACTCGCTGTCGTGTTTGCCTCGACGACTTGTCTCTTGTCGCTCTCTCCGGGACTTCCCCACCAAACGAGGCCAACGCACAGATGCTACCGCTACTACGTACTACTAGGTAGGTATGTAGTAAAACGTGCCAGTTCGACGATGAGGACACATCACATCACATAAGTGTTTACACCCAAGGTGCCAGGTGTTGTAGGACGAAGCCCTGAGGTAGGTAGGTAGTTGGTGGCAAGCCAGCACAAAGCGTCCCCACGGCGAGGCTCCGGCTGTTGGGCACGCATCTGCCTGTAGGTGCTGTACGAGTACGCAGGGCAGCGCACCGCAAGCAGATGCAGGCCAGCCAAGTGTGCTTCAACCTGCCGGCGCCGCCTCCAGGTAAAAAAAAAACAAAACAACAATGGGTTTGCATCGGCCGCCGCGGCTCCAAACGGGGCGCCTGAGCAGAGCAATCTGCGGTAATATTCTCCAGGCCGGCTCCGCATCTTCACCTTCTGTTTGTTGGCGACAGCCGTCCATGGGCCTGTTGCTTATGTAACAAAGGCTGCCTCATGCTTGCAGGAAAAAGGCCGAATGCAAGATGCGGGTCCCGGTATTATCTTGATCCTGACTCGGAGGCTCTGGGAGGTAAAGACACACACACACACACACACACTCACTCGCAACTCGTCCCGCGCCATCCCTCTAATACTACCTTATTCCCATTAGGCGCTGCAGCCTCAATCACATGACCGGCCTTGCGCTGTTTCGGTGGCTTTTTCCCCTTGATCCTGCTTCGATTATCCCCGACATGGAGCCAGACGCCAAGAAATCCCCGGGCTGCCAGCCCTTCGATTTTCCATCTGCTTCCGTTGACACCATTTTCTTTCCCGTTTTCTTCTTTCTTTACTTTTACCAGTTTACTGCCCTGAACGTACTAGCACCTTTTCTTACAGTACTAAACAACTTCTCGTCTGGCGCTCCGCAGCCGCCGCCGTGTCCCTCTTCAGAGTGTGGTTTTTCATCACCGGTTCTGCTCCGACGATGGGAAATGAGGTGCCACCCGGTGAGAGCAGCCGTCCTGCATGGAGACTCCGCCTGAACAGTGCGAGGGCTCGACAAGGAGAAGATGCAGACCTCTCGTCGGCACTCAGCACCATTCGATTAACCTTATGCGATCGCGGGATGCGATGCGTATGACTGTTTCTGCCTGTGGTGCAATACCTAATACTACTACCCCCTCAACGGCCGGCGAAAAGCGAATCGAGTGGCTTGCCAACCAAGTTTCCTCTTCACAGTTCAACCGCCCGTTTGGCCGCACGCCACCGTTCTGCTGGCGCCACGACGATGAAGTCGAGTTCGGTTGGCAGCCACCCTGTCGATTCGGATCGCGTCTTTGTCGCATGCCGAATGGGGGAACGCCTCTGTTCCTGTGCAACGGCCGGTGCTACATACCTTTTGCCAATACTACCGCCATCGACTGCCAAACGCCCTGGTGCCACAGGCCGTGGATCGTTTCGCCCGCCAGAACTCGGGACAAGAGGTGCTGCTGACAACGCATGCCCACGAGCCAACCAAACGCAATGTCTATACCCCCCCGGACCCAGACCGGGGGCTGAACTGCCATGGCCACTCGTATCGAGAGCTGGCTGGCGTCGCCAATGATAACTGAAGATCCCCCCGAGAGCTAAAAGGGAGCTGCTGCTGCCGGTTGGCTTACCCGCTGGATCACCGCGCCATGCTTGTTTTTGCCTCGATGCGGCCATGGGTCCTCAGCGATTGGGACGCGGACCCTTCCGTGGCCCTGCGCCCGCGATACATATCGTACAGCGATGCGGCGGCTCTGCTGCGAAAAGGGCACGCACATGCACAGCAGCATGCGGTGGTGTGCTGTAAAAGCATGAAATAATAAGGAGCACTCGGAGTAGTCATTCATTCTTTATTCTTGGATTTCGGGTTATATCCATACCTCTTACGACGTACTCTGTTCCTGAGGAAAGGGAAGCATCGGATGATCCTGTGTGGCTTTGCGACCGCCGTCACTCAATCGCCGTATCGCTGTGGCTTCAACCACCACAACCGACCGTAAAGTAGGTACATGTAGTCTTGCAGCCATGCACTCTACCTAAAACTTGATGTCGCCGGCAGAAGCACCCAACCGGGCACTTGGCTACTGATCCCCAGAATGGCATTGCGCACTCTCAGCTCGTGGCCAGAGGCTGCATCGCCAAGGCATGAATGACCCAGGACGACGCCCTTGTGCGCCGCAACTCAGCAGCTCGCCGCCAGAAAGTGAGGTGACCTGTTTCTCTCTCTCTTCCAACCACTTTACCCCAGTGTATCCCCCCATGCAACGATCAATCACCCCCCAATCAAGTACTTATTCGTATATTCGTTAATCGCACTATTAAGGTACCTTACTTACCTCAAGGACTGCGCAGGCTCTTGGTATCAACGCAAGGCACACACACACAGACACAAACACACACTCACTCACAGCACATCGTCTGGCAGAACATTCTAAGCCGCCCGCCGTCGTCCGTCTCAGCCGCCTTTGCCCAAGAATCCTTCGCCTGGGCACCGGGTCGTTTGAAACACTGCTAGTGCTCTCATGCTCAGGCTCTCTCTCCAGTCTCCCGTCTTACTGCTAGTACCCCTCGCAGCGCGGCGACCCGTCATCGCATCTCGAGCGAGTGTGAGTGGGCTGCTCGTGCTGCTGAGTCTCGGGCGCTACCTCACAAACTACAGCGAGAGGTACGTACCTACCCTGCCTAAGGTAGCCTGCACTGACGATTGGACCCGCCTTTTCCCCCCCAGCCGCCGCGAGCAGCTCTGAGCGGGCAGGTACGGGCACGACAGGCAAGGTACCGGGCGGTACGTACCGCAATTCGTACTGCCACACCATCTCGCACAGGACCCTGCCCACCCCCCCACTCTGTGCCCTCGGCAAGGAAGACACCAAAAAGCCGCCAAGCATGCAAAGGCCCCACAGGGCCAGGGTGGCCCCGCTCGCTTCCCAGACACCCCCGCCGTGGCTGTAGCGCGTCCTTTCCCTCCCATTTTCATCATTCTCATGGGTAAGGTAAGTTTGTCGGTTCAGCAGCGCAGGTCCGTCCTCCACAAGACCAGCCCTCTCCCCGTCACCCGTTCTCTTTTTTTCTCCCCTCCATCACAGTCTGCAGCCCGTAGCCAGCAGCGTTCGGGGATCGTGGACCTTGACGAGTCTCGTGCCATCGCGACACTCCAGCTCTTCTTCTGCCTAGACTTCTAAGCCTCGTCGGCCTTTTGCTCTCGCTCGGCGTACCTTTTATTGCCCTTGCGTAGTTTGTTTTATTCTTCATTCTTCAGCTCGTCGGCCCGAGTGTTGCCGTCACCAGCAGCCCTCAGTCGGCCTGCGTCTCCTCGCAGTGTTTGCACACTCGAGCCATTGGACTGTCGCCGCAACCAACCGCCCTTTTAATCGACACGACCCGTCGCCGGCTGAAGAGCACTCTCGCGCGATCGCGTCCAGATCGACAATTCGTCCAGGCCCGCGCCGCTCAGACCCTTCACCGCCCGCGTTGTCGCGACAAGCCGCCGCCAGGAGCATCGCGATGGCGAACCATCACCCATCGCCCACAATGATGCAGATGCAGCATCAAGCACCTCCTCCTGTGGCGCCGCCTCAGAATGTCCAGCCAAACCACTTCAGCCCGTCGCACCAGATTGCGGCCATGAACGAGGCCGTCTGGTTGCAGATTGGTATGCCCCGTCTCCCCCCCTCCCCCTTTGCTTGCCAGCTCACCCTGGCTCGACTCTGGTACTGATAATCTGAATAGGAAGCTTCTCTGAGTTGCTGCGAATGCCCGAAGAAGCAATGCACGCCTACGAGCGAGCCCTTCAGGCGAATCCCAACTCGACCGCCGCGATGAGCGCGATCGGAATGCTCCTCAAGGGGCGCGAGGCTTTTGACAAGGCGCTCGAGTTCTTCCGAGCCATCGTCCAGCTCGACCAAAACAACGGTGAAGCATGGGGCAATCTCGGTAAGCTGCGATCACGGCCATTCGAATCTCGTTGATCTATGCTCATGCGATGCTCTGCAGGCCATTGTTACCTGATGACCGAAAACCTACAAAAGGCGTACGATGCCTACCAACAGGCCCTCGTCAACCTGAGAGATCCCAAGGTACGTAGGCAACGCGCTGTATGGCCCGCATCCGCCCGAGTGCTTGGCTAACCTTGGCACTCACACTCACAGGATCCTATGCTGTGGTACGGGATTGGAATTCTGTATGATAGATACGGGAGCTACGACTATGCCGAGGAAGCATTCTCCCAAGTCATGACGATCCAGCCCGACTTTGAGAAGGCCAATGAAATCTACTTCCGGCTGGGCATCATATACAAGCAGCAGTCCAAGTTCGCCCAAAGCTTAGAGGTAAGGCAACGTTCTTGTTGCGAGCAGACACCAACGTTGGCCATTGTTACTGACAGCATCTCCAGTGCTTCAAGTACATTGTCAATTCCCCTCCGGGGCCCCTGACCCAGGAAGACATCTGGTTCCAGATTGGCCACGTGCACGAACAGCAGAAAGATGTAAGTTTTGTGTGCTTGGCCGTCTTTTCTGCCCGAATTTGTCATTTGCTGACGTTGTCTCGCAGTTCGACGGCGCCAAGTCCGCCTACCAGCGTGTGTTGGACCAGTCGCCAAACCACGCCAAAGTTCTGCAGCAGTTGGGCTGGCTGTACCACCAACAAAGCCCAGCATATGATTCCCAAGAACGCGGTATCCAGTATCTCGAGAAGTCTGTCGCGGCAGGTGAGTCAAGCAACATTCATAATCGGCGGTGTACTGCCAAAGTCGGCATAATTGACACGTTTCACCAGACAACCAAGATGCGCAAAGCTGGTATCTTTTGGGTCGCTGCTACATGTCCCAGCAGAAATATCCCAAGGCCTACGAGGCATACCAACAGGCTGTGTACCGCGATGGGAAGAATCCCACCTTCTGGTGCTCGATTGGTGTGCTCTACTATCAGATCAACCAGTACCGAGACGCGTTGGACGCGTACTCCCGAGCTATTCGTCTCAACCCTTACATTTCCGAGGTCTGGTACGACTTGGGTACTCTGGTACGTTCAGTCTTTCATCGTTGCGATTTTTCACTTCACGGGCGACGGGTTGCTAATACTGTGAGCAGTACGAATCTTGCAACAACCAGATCGCCGACGCCCTCGACGCCTACCAAAGGGCAGCAGAGCTGGATCCAGGCAACCCGCACATCAAGGCTCGCCTCCAGCTTCTCCGGTCTGGCGGCACCAATGGCGGCCCCCCGCCTGCAGCTCCTCAGCCTGCTGATATGCATCCATCGACATACCAGACAGGCCCTACGGGTCCTCCTCAATGGGGAGGGTCTGCGCAGCAGCAGTCTGCTGGCCCCCCTGCTGCCACTCAGGCGGCTGGCGAGAGCTGGGCGGGCAGGCTGTCGAATGTGAACCCGCCGCCCCAGCCACCTAACCCCTACGAAAGCAGAGGCGGCGAGCCCTTCCGTGGTGGTGGCCCAGCGCCGCCTCTCCGACAGCCCAGCCCTCCTCCGCAGGAGCCGCCGGCACGTCAGCCGTACCCCGAGCTCAACAGACCGGGCCCATCCCGGCGTGGCCCATCGCCGCCGCCGGCTCATCAATATGCCCAGCCTCTCCCCCCACCGCCTCCCCAGTCCCAACCTCCGGCGCCCGCGCCAGCTGAGCGACGAGTTGTCAACCCCAACTGGGGTGGTGCGACGCCCTCAGCATCTGCGCCTCCCAACAACCCGCCTCCGAACGGCATGACTCCGTTCCGGCCCGCCAGCAGCCCGCGCACCGACGGCCGTCCTCCGATCCATGACAACCGCATGCCATCCCCCAAGTCGGCCTACCCGCAGCACCCGGCTCCTCCTCCACCTCATTATGCTCACCACCCGGAGATGCCCCCTCAGAGCGCCCCTGAAAACAACGCACAGCCCCCGCCTCCCCCGCCTCCTCCTGCGCCGATTTCTGAGCCACCTCCACAGCGCATGGAGGATCGGCCTTCGTCTGTAGGTCCCAAGAGACATCGGGAATGGGAAGAGGAACCCGTGTCCAAGAAGCCCGCCAACGAAGAGACGCGGGCACGACTTGGTGACTTGCAACACCGCAGACCATCCACCCCTCCCCCGGCCCGTGACGCGTATCGTCGCAATTCATCCGAAGCTCGCCGAACGGAAGAGCAGCGTCGCCCCGAAGAGTCCAGGAGGCCTGATGAGCCACGCCACAAGGCGGAGAGCTACCATCCTTCCGAGGCTGCTCATCACACACAGAGCCATAGTGTGAGCTCCAACCACCTGCCGCCGATGCAGCCGGGAGCGGGCCCCATGACTGGCGTCGTCCACGAAAAGCCCAACCCTCCCGTCGTTCCAAAGGAGGAGCCTCGGGCTGAGCAGGGTTCCGCAGCTCGCCCAGCTCCCCCGCCAGCCTCAGAACCCGAGCGTGCTGCTAGGAAAATGGACGTGGACGAGGACTATGACGACAGCGGAGAGGACGAGAAGAAGGCAGTGCTCACTAATGGCTCTGGGCCTTCCGCAGCTTCAAGCGACCTCAAGGCTGCGAACTCCTCTGCCAGCGTGAACGTGGCGTCTGGCCCTGCGCCCAAGTCTGAGTAGAACATCTTTCGAGAGAGCAGGGATAATGTTGTTTTACGGGCGTCTTGGGAGACGGCGGCTTTGCAGTCTTGAGTAATGTGACCCCGCGTTCTTTCGTCTGTTTCCTTTTTTTTTTTTTTTTTTTTTTTTTTACACTTTTTCTTCTGCTATATATCATACTGCCATTCCCGGCTCTATTACCCAGTACTTAGCTGTTTTCATATTTGGGGGGGGGGGGGCTGATGTGACGGACGGCAAGGGAAAAACGGGTTATTGGTCTTGGCTAAAACGAACTGTCGCCAGGGAGCGTTTTCCGTATGATACTTGTAGTCGTTTCGTTCTATCAAAGACTATCTTATGCTGATGCTCTCCCTGCTACCGTGTATATTTCTGTGACCAATCCGTGTATATTTCTGTGACCAATCCGTGTATATTTCTGTGACCAATCCGTGTATATTTCTGTGACCAATCCGTGTATATTTCTGTGACCAATTTGCACGTACACATAGTTTACATGTAGCAACCCCCGTCCATTGTAGGCTTACCTACCTACGAAGTATATATGTTCCCCCTTCGTATGTGTCCTGCCGAGGTCGAGCAGACCGCTCAGGTGCTTGGCTTTTTGAATCACGTGATCAGATTATCCTTGGGTTTGCGCGCAGGCATTGGCCACATTTGATTGGCTGAAAGAGTCCTTTATCCCAAAAAGGCTAGCCTGTGGACGCACGGGCCGCACAATCTGGGAACCTCAGGTCTCGCTTAAAATTTCGCACACAAACTATTTTCCCGGAAGCCCTTTTCACTTTTCTGCTTCGTGCAGGCTTCGTCAATTTTTCATACCAACCTCATCACCACACAACAGCCCAAAATGAGTGTATGTGAACACTTCCGAACCAAGGACGACGACGACAGTCGTTTACGGCTTCACGATGCTGACAATCAGGATAGCACCGCAAGTACGAGGCTCCCCGTCACGGCTCCCTGGCTTACCTGCCTCGGAAGCGCGCTGCCCGCCACCGCGGAAAGGTCAAGTCGTAAGTTTATGGACAAAGAACTTCCCGGAAAAAAAAAAAGAGAGAAACTTTCGAGATGGATTCACCTTGAAGGAGAAACACATGGAGAGAACTCAGTGCTAATCAATCGCGATTTTTTCCCACAGCTTCCCCAAGGATGACCCCAAGAAGCCCGTCCACCTGACCGCCGCCATGGGCTACAAGGCCGGTATGACCACGATCGTCCGTGACCTCGACCGACCCGGCGCGAAGGCACACAAGAAGGAAGTTGTGGAGGCTGTTTCGATCATTGATACCCCCCCTGTACGAACAATGCAGCCCGCTTGGCTATGTGCCTATGGCTAACATCTAATTTAGATGATCGTTGTTGGTCTTGTGGGCTACATCGAGACTCCCCGCGGTCTGCGCTCCCTCACCACCGTCTGGGCCGAGCACTTGAGCGACGAGGTCAAGCGACGATTCTACAAGAACTGGTACAAGAGCAAGAAGAAGGCCTTTACCAAGTACGCCAAGAAGCACTCGGACAACAGCGGCGCCTCCATCAACCGCGAGCTCGAGCGCATCAAGAAGTACTGCACCGTCGTCCGCATCCTTGCCCACACCCAGATCCGCAAGACCCCCCTCAAGCAGAAGAAGGCCCACCTCATGGAGATCCAGGTCAACGGCGGCTCCGTCGCCGACAAGGTCGACTTCGCCAAGGACCTCTTCGAGAAGCCCGTCTCCGTCGACACCATCTTCGAGCAGGATGAGGTCATTGACGTGATCGCCGTCACCAAGGGTCACGGTTTCAGCGGTGTCACCGCCCGCTGGGGCACCAAGAAGCTTCCCCGCAAGACTCACAAGGGTCTCCGAAAGGTCGCTTGTATCGGTGCCTGGCACCCGTCCCACGTCCAGTGGACCGTTGCCCGTGCCGGTCAGGAGGGTTACCACCACCGAACCTCTGTCAACCACAAGGTTTACAGAATCGGCAAGGGTGATGCTGAGGACAGCGCCTCCACTGACGTCGATGTCACCAAGAAGAAGATTACTCCGTATGTTTTCTAGCCCATCCTTTTTTCTTTATCTCCCGGCCACAGGTTTGCTAACATTTTTTCCCTCCCAGTCTCGGTGGCTTCGTCCGCTATGGTGAGGTCAACAACGACTTCGTCATGGTCAAGGGCTCTATCCCTGGTACCAAGAAGCGTGTCGTGACCCTGCGCAAGTCCATGTGGACTCACACCTCAAGAAAGGCCCTGGAGAAGATCAACCTCAAGTGGATCGACACCTCGTCCGAGTTCGGCCACGGTGCTTTCCAGACCCCTGCGGAGAAGAAGCAGTACCAGGGCACCCTCAAGAAGGATCTGGCCTCCGCATAAACGTGCGCGTCGCCTACTCTTTTCCTTTTTGCGCGTCATGGTCATTGCATTGGTGTCGGATCTTTCGGTTTGCCTTGCTTATTTTGGGCTGGGTTTTGGGGCTCTCATAATGGGATGAGCATGAAGAAGAAAAAAAAAAGAACGAATTTCAGCTAGAAATCTGAAATACCAGAATGAGATTTCCTGTTATGATAATGGAAATCCCAACGCATGTGCATGCCCAAGTAGCGGCGCCAATAGACAAAGCTGACCAGTTACCTACATGATGGAATCTTGCCGTGACTGTTGTGAGAGTATCAAGCTATATGAGGTCAATGGCACGATTAGGTCGCCTTTCTTCACTGCTTTCTCATACTCAGGTTATCTATCTCATGTTCAAAAGCAGAGCAGCACCAAGCACCTCTACTCGCCCTGGCCTCTTCACCATCGAAGTATGAGGCAATATCTTCCAATAGAATGCTGTAATAGGAGGGAAAAGGGAACCAACATCAGCAATGCTCTCATGGTGAAGTCGGAATGGATCTGGACCATGGCGGCTTCTCAACGTAGGGAAAACACGCAACGACAGACTTGACAGGGATAAAGACTTATCATGAATCTACACTTAGTGAACAAAAGCTGTCCGTCCTGGGGCTTCCTCCTGAGGCGTCTGACACAGCAGGGTAAGCATGAGTGATTCTCCCACAAAGATGAGAATCAAAATACCTAAGGTCTTTCTGTCAATCTACTAGCTACTAGCCTTATATCACTAGCATATAACCTGGACCCGTCCACAAGAGACTCACTGGTCTCAGTTATGGATTGTGCTTCATGGTCGGGTAAAAGATTATGGGCAGCATCAACTTCTCAGCTTCTGCCTTGTTGCTCACCGTCATTTATCTTAGACTCCTCCACCCTAATCTGATTTCAGATTTAAATTGAGACAGCGAGCTGATACAATGGCCAGGCGTAAAGCAGTGGCGCTGGAGGACTTCATTCATCTCGTCGCAAGTCCCGTCCAACAACAGCAGGAGCACTCATACAGTTGATCGACTTTGACAGGACGAAGGGTATGATGATATCTTGTGAAACAAAGAAAGAAACATGACTGGGACCGGATGCCACCTTCGGTGTGCAGTTGGTGTGAGCCTGAATGGCTGCTTGATTCATGACGGATGTCAATGCGCACTCTGCCAACTTGACAGGATTGATGATACGTGGAAGCTCCCATAGTGTTTGATTCACCTCCTACGCCATCAGATACTTTGCCCCCCAGAATAGTCGAATGTCGCGGGAACAAGGTGAGTATCTCGTCGAGGATTTATACACATGTAGCCGTGGAGGAAGTAATTCCGGCAGACGTTTGGGCTACATGTGATGTCGTGGTCACCAAACACCAAACTCCCCAGAAACGGCGAGACAGGAGTACGGCTGCACCTGTATGATTCAAAAGGTCGTCTTAATGCGTTGATCGTGCAGCTGAATGGTTACAGCCTCACGTTCGGGGAAAAAAAAAAAACCGATGCTCGACTCTCTATTTGTATTCCACGGCTCTTCTGGGTTATGAACTGCTTGGGTCAAATTAGAGGGGGAAAAAAAGGTTCTCGACCTCGATGCGTGGTATTGGATTCCAGACCTTAGCAGATGCAATTGGAACTTGGCTGTGGTGGCCTGATAGTCCTCTCGCCGCGCTTTTCGGGACACTATATCTCCTAGCCAGAACGATCTTGAGGAGAGACAGAGGACATGTCCATAGCTCAAAGGTGTGTTGGTGATTTGTGGTGGCGAATTAGAGGAAGACGGGAGGAAGATGAGATCAAAGATAGCAGAGGTTGAAGAGTAAGCCCCACAGCAGCAGCAGCTAGCGAGAAGCAGCTAATGCTGATGCTGAAGATTGCGGAGAAGAAGCAAGCCATTGGCTGAGGTATGGGGATTTCTGTGATTGTACATGCCTTGCTCAGAAGGAGAAACGAAGGGATGGTGCAGACTTTTGAGAGACGAGAGTGTGTGCTGGAAAGAATATGCATTCATGTTGACAAACTCAATTTTCGTAGTCAAACCGGAAGATTCTATCAAAGTACCTTGGTAGGTTCTTGGTGATGATGGTTGGAATACGAGGGCAGTGTCTTGTCGTCGCAGTAACTTGATGACCATGGGGGGGTATTGAGTACATGTGCCTGGATTGGGACTCGGCTAATTTTGAGTTTCTGCCCCTGTATCGTGTCGCTAATCAACAATCAACAACCCGCCTGGGATGAGAGTAACTGTTACAAATGAGCCCAGTCGGCTTCATACATGATCTTCACGGACATGGTACAGCAGACAAGATCGAAGCAAGAGAAATAGAGACAGCAGTCCACGTTGGTACATAGATGATGCTTTACCTGACCAATCAGGCCCGACGTCATAGTGTCTCAGCCAAGCAGGGTCTGTTAAATCGATCAATTTCAGGATCCATGGAGGGGCATCAAACAATGAAGGTACAGGTTACAGGTACAAATACTAAGATACAGGCACCAGACCGATACAGGTACAGGCAGGCAGTAGGTAATACAAGGTTACCTCCAGTAGCGCAGCAACGCGTCGCCTCTCACACAGCCCAAACCTGATACCTTAGGTAGGCAGTCCGCCGTAGCACGACATGCCTCGTCATAATATAGCGCCTTACCTCGCCCAAGCAGCGTCCAGGCCAGAACATCACCCAACCATCACGTCGCCTCAGTTCTTGTCCTACGGTCAGCCATGAGGGGGCTGCCCTTTGGCATCAGGTCGTCCTGTTAGCATCTTGTCCGTTTTCGCTTCCTTCCATGTCATTGCAGCCCTTCGGCCTCGGTTTCAGTCCAGCGACTCATCGTCACTTGAGCGGTTCGGCGACATCACAGCCATCAACCAACCACTACTAGATACCTATCCGGACGCCTCTTCCCAACGCCATCATCGCCGCATATATCATGAGAGAGCCTGAAAGCGACTTCTCCTCGTCTGGCAGCGAGTCGCCGCCGCCGCCGCCTCCTCCGCCCAAAGCAGAGCCTCACGCGCGCGTCTCTACTTCAGCACCGCATCATGCGCCTCATGCGCCTCATGAGCATGCGCCGCCTCCCACGAGGCGCCAAAGCATCGCAAACCGCCTGCTGGGGTCCTTCAACCAGGTCCGCAAAGACACCAAGGAGAGGGTCAAGAACGAGCCGCCGCCGCCGCCGGCCCCCGCCAAGCGGCGGTCGTCCGTCGCCGAGAAGTCGTCGCCCATGACGCGGATCCGCTCATGGCTCGACACGTGTAACGCCCAGCATAGCCATCACTGCAGCGGCGATGATCCGGATGCCGAGACTTGGCGGCCCGTCTACCTCGTCGACTCGGTGGAGCGATGCTTGGTCAAGGCCAAGCCGACGGATCGCTACCTTGCCCTGAGCTATGTCTGGGCGCCCCTGAACCAGCGTCGAGGCGGTCCTACCACGGTGGTGCAGCTCCTCAAGTCGAACATCGAGGCCTTCCAGTCGGACCTCCCAGAGGTGGATCTTCCCGAGACGATTCTCGACGCCATGTACATGGCGAGGAAACTGGGCTTCCGCTATCTGTGGGTCGATCAGCTCTGCATCGTCCAAGATGACGAGGTGGACAAGGAGAACCATGTCCGACACATGCCGTACATCTTTGCAAATGCATATCTCACCATTGCCGCGGCATATGGCGACCTTTACACCGGCCTCCTTCCCATCAGCCCGCGGCGACATCAGCGCGACTCCAAGGCCGGCAACAGCAGCAGCAGCAGCAGCAGCAAGGACCACAGTGAACTGCTGCGGCAGTCCAAGTGGAACAACCGTGGCTGGACTCTTCAGGAGCTGCTCTATTCGCGCCGCACTGTCTTCTTCTTCCAGGACACGGTAACTTGGGAATGCCATTGCAACCTCTGGCAGAAGAACTCGATAAACATCATTCCCAAGCTGCGGGCCAGCAGTCGACACGATTGCGTCAACCGTCTTTCCTCTGCCATTCTCGGTTATAAGCATCCTCCATGGCCCGACCTGGATGAGTATGCCCGCATCGCGGCCGATTATAGCGCAAGGAGGGTGACCTATGTCGAGGACACGTTGAGAGCTTTTTCGGGTATCACTTCTATGCTGTCCCGTACGTTTTCAGACGGCTTCATGTACGGCATGCCGCTCATGTTCCTCGACATTGCTCTGCTCTGGCGTCCTCAGGCTTCAATACGACGGAGGGCGCCCCCGCGAGCGCCTTTCTTCCCATCATGGTCATGGATGGGGTGGTGGTTCGATGGGGTGCCTGTCGACCTGGTTCTGTGGAAGGCCGCGGCAGATTATGTCGAAGAGACGAGTCCGACGAAGATAGGATCCAACCACAAGCGGCTTCAGGCCATGCAAACCTTCCGAATCAAGCCCACCGTCACTTGGCACCTTACAGACAGAGCTACCACAGTTCCCGTAGCCAACAACGGGCTGCGGTATCGAGATCTCCGGTCGCGCAAGAATGCCGGGACACCGCTGCCCCGTGGCTGGTCGAGAAGCGGAACGTCGTTCAAGCACGACAGCGACCGGACGACCGTCTTCAAGTATCCCGTGCCTGTCACAGATCCCCCCAAAGACGGACCACATGCGCCGACCCCGGCCGAGCAGACTTTCCCGGGGCCGCTCTTGTCCTTCAGGACGGCTGCTGGTCTCTTTGACGTTGACCTTGCCGATACCATGGCGCCCAAAGACGGATCCAACCCACAGATTGCGATTGGAAATATCTGGGGCAGGTCTGGGAAATGGATTGGCGAATTCAGAGCGCACGATGCCTGGATGGGCGTCCAGACGTCCAACTACGACGGAGGCGAAAAGCTCGAGTTCATCGCCATCAGCACGGGAATGGAGCGCAAGGGCTCGTTCATATTTCCGCCGGAGCGGTTCGAAGAAAACAAGGACGCGGACGGCATACTGGACTTTGTCAACGTGCTGTGGATTGAGAGGATCGGCACAGTCTGCTACCGGAGGGGCATTGGGCATATCTTGCTCAAAGCATGGAATGCACAAGTGAGGGATCAGGTGGACATTCTTCTCGGATAGGGGGGTGGGGTTCCATGAGAGGCACCCGGCATGTCTAGGGAGGTATGTGAGGTTTGGTGTTTTGAGATTCTGGTGCTTTGGACTTGGCGAGGCAGTAGTGGCGATTGCCTTTTCGATTCATGTTGATATTTGTACATATTCCGGTGCGATTTTGTCTGTTGTGCTCACCTTTGTCAATACATGTGGCTGGGAAGACGAGGGGATTTGAAGGGCACATGGCTGGTCATGTATCTAGTAGATAGCAGGCATTTGTATTCAATTGCTTCAATTCATCATGTCAGGCTTCTCTGTATTCAGGCTGTATCAGTCTAACCGAGTGAGCCCTGGGCTGATGAAATAAAAGCTGCCTTGGCACTACATAGGTATAGGTAGATACGCAGTCATCTTGCATACCTACCTTGATGTAGAACAAAGCTGCAAGACATGGAAGCTTGCGCGCACCGAGTGTCCATCACGTGGGCATTTCCGCGATGAGGGTTGAAGCAACTTGGGTGTCGTGTAAACAAGAAACAGACTAGTAATACCGTGCAATCATAATACCGTGATAAAGCCACATCTCATAATCTTCCTTGTTTCCTAGTAGTAGTTTCGAGTTACTCCTTCATCGTGCAACGTCCGACTTACATAGTATTGATGCCACGAGTCGACTGTGGGTGCGACAACAGGTCCAAGACTCCAAGCCATGTCCCACGGTGGCGTGTAAATGTGTCAGACAATCCGCTGTCAATTCTCGATTTCAGGTGATTGATATTTCTAAACCCATCGGGATCCAATTCAAGTCACCTACAGGCATCTTCTGGTACGACCAGCTTGTTCATCTCAAGGGTAGAGGTTCCTTAACTGACTGATTGATTGACTTACATCGGAACAGTATCCGCGAGTACATGCCCAGCCACCAGACCCCAGCCTCTTCGGAGGTATTCACCGGTAGTGATAGGTACATGTAGCAGCGACAACTAAACCCGCCCTGCCGCTCCAGCAGCCCTTGGCGGTCCATATACCTAGTACCTTACCTTACCTAGTAGTAATCGACGCCCGCGCCTGACCAGCTGCAGCGCAGTGACCAGATGCGCCCTGCAGCAGCCGTAGCAGCCCGCAAGTATTACCTTGTCGAACCCCAGACGTCACTGCCACTGACTTGCCTCGAGATGCTCCTTTCACAAACGTCACGAGTTCACTCCGTCGGCCTCCTCACGCGACCGACTCGCCAGATGCCCGGATAGACGGGGCGTGAGGGATACACCACAATTCCCTCCCTCTTTCCCTTTCTTACTTGCAGAAGGTCTCTGCCTGGACGACGCGGAACCATCTGAAGAAGAAACCGGAACGTTGGCTCCCGGGAACAAGTCACGATAACGGCATCATCATCATCACCACCATCACCGGCGCGCAATCGTCTCCAGCGTTCTTCTATTCCGGCTCGACGGGCCGCGAGACGAGAATGGCGTCGAGGCCAGAGTACCAGTCCTTGGACGATGTGGACGACCACACAGGAGCCACGCACGAAGACTCGGCTCTTCTAGGCGGCCAAGATGAGGACGGCCAACAGGTGCCCTTTTCGTGGATCGAATATGGCATCTTTTGCTTCCTCGGCATGGCCATGCTCTGGGCCTGGTAAGCTTTCCTCTCTCTCTCTCTCTCTCTCTTCACGCATGGACCAGATCAAATAGATATCTGACTGCTAACGCGCCATCGCAGGAACATGTTCCTCGCCGCAGCCCCCTACTTCGCCGCCCGCTTCGCCGGCGACTCCTGGATCGAGGCCAACTTCCAGTCCACCATCCTCACCGTCTCGACCCTGACGAACCTCGTCTCCGCCCTCATCCTCTCCCACATCCAGCACTCCGCCTCGTACCCCTTCCGCATCAACCTCGCCCTGGCCATCAACACCGTCATCTTCAGCCTGCTGACGGCCTCGACGGCCGTCTTCCTCGATGCCTCGCCGCGGCAGTACCTGGCCTTTGTGCTCGCCATGGTGGCGTGCACCTCCTGGGCCGCGGGGCTGATGCAAAACGGCGCCTTCGCCTTCGCCGCCGGCTTCGCCCGCCCCGAGTACATGCAGGCCCTCATGGTCGGCCAGGGCGTCGCGGGCGTCCTGCCGTCCATCGCGCAGGTCGTCTCCGTGCTGCTCTTCCCGCCGGGCAAGGAGAACAAGGCAGCGGCCGACGGCCGGGGCGGCGAGACGACGACGGGCGAGTCCTCCGCCTTCTACTACTTCCTCGCCGCCGTCGTCATCTCCCTCGTCACCCTCGTGGCCATCATCCCGCTCGTCCGGCGCCACAACCGCCTCGTGGCGGCTCGCATCCCCGACCACCTCGCCTCCTCCATGGCCAGCATCGAAGAGGCCGAGCGCAACAACACCACCACCACCCGCAAGGTCGTGCCCCTGCTGCACCTCCTCAACAAGCTCCGCTGGCTCGCGTGCGGCGTCGCCCTCGTCTTCGCCGTCACAATGTTCTTCCCCGTCTTCACCGTCAAGATCCTCTCCGTGCACACAGACGACGGCGGCCTGCTCTTCCAGCCCGCCGTCTTCATCCCCGTCGGCTTCCTCTTCTGGAACCTTGGCGACCTCGCCGGCCGCGTCGCCACCATGCTGCCCTTTTCCCTCACACATAGGCCGCGCCTGCTCTTCGCGCTGGCCGTGGCCAGGATCGCGCTGCTCCCGCTCTATCTCCTCTGCAACATCAATGGCCGGGGCGCCATCGTACCGAGCGACCTATTCTACTTATTCGTCGTCCAGTTGGTCTTTGGCGTGACGAATGGCTGGGTTGGATCGAGCTTCATGATTGCTTCGGGCGAGTGGGTGGAGGAGCACGAGCGGGAGGCGACTGGCGGGTTCATGGGCTTGTGCCTGGTTGCCGGCCTCGCGTCGGGCAGCTTATTGAGCTTTACGATATCTGGGATTTAGCATCTTGGATCTAATGGGTCATTTGTTTGCAAGGCGGTTCTTGTTTTTTTGTTTTGTATCTTCATTGGAGCGTGTACAATATTGCATACAGGGTATTGTTGTGTGATTTTTTTTTTTTCCGAGGCATTCGTTAGAAAGCATCCAATGAGCAATCTAATCTATCTCAGTGACAGAACAAAGAACGGGCGATGTGCGAGAGAAAAGAGGTATCAAGTAAGAAGATAGAAAAAAAGAATACAAAAACAAGAAACGAACATGTATGTACTGATGAAGACGATCATGGTAACGTGTAAAAACACCATGCGAACCTTCAAAATATGCCGCCGTTCTGTGTTCCATGCGGCCATCACCCCCCCTCTCTCCCATCCCAACCCCAACGAATTCCATGAAGCCATCAAATCCGGTGCAATTCCCCCCTTCACATGCATGTTTGTATACCTCAGGTATCTAGCCTTTTGACGCCCTCTTTGTTTTGTGTGCTCGATTTCCCAATACCAAATGCTCTGCAGGTAATAAAAGGATGAAAAGTTGAAGAAAGGTAGAAACGTGAAAAAGTTTTGAGAAGGGTTCAAAGGAGAAGAAGAAGAAGAAGAAGAAGAAGAAGAAGAAGAAGAAGAAGAAGAAGAAGAAGAAGAAGAAGAAGAAGAAGAAGAAAGCAAGCAGTCCATCCAGTGAGGTAGTAGAAAAGGTAGTAACAAGAATTCAAGTTCCATCATGTTCTGGCCAAAGGATCACACCTCAGAGGATTGTGATATATGGAAGTGGACGATGCGCCTCCCGTCTCTCTCTTGAAAGGCTCCAGGCCCTTGTGTAGCGTCGCAAGATCCGTCGTGTGCCTGTACACCGTCTTCCCCGCGCCCAGAGACGAGGCAATGTCGCTGCTCAGGCAGCTGGAGCGTCTGCTATGAGTCTTCGGGGGACCGTCTTCCATCAACAAAATGACTGCGTCCCCCGTGCGAGGCGGCCCGGACCACTCCAGGGCACACATTGACGGGGGGTGATAGTGGGTATCGCCGCAGACGACCCAGTCCGCGGTGTAAAAGCCCCCCTCGATGAGGTCCTGCTCCGTGCCGCGCCAGTGGCTAAACTTCTTCTCCGGGTCCTTGTAGTCGAAGTCGCCAAACCGAAGCTTGATCTCCCCCTCATCGTTGGCAGGCACCAGCGCAAAGCATGTGCAGTCCCGCAGCGTCATGGCAACGACAAAGTCGAGGTTCGTAGGGGGTCGCAATGGCCCCACGTCATCAAGGCTCTTCTGGCAATCCCTCAGCTTTCGGAGTGCTTTATGGTTGATGATGTTGTCGAGAATGGTCTGGATGCGCTTGTCGTCCTGCAGGCCGGCGAGCTGCGGAGCGATTCGAAACGGTGACGAGACCTGCCGAGGACAGTCGGGGTTCGCAATCGCGATCGGACATGGCCGTCTTTCAGGGCGCGGCGCCTTTGCGCTGGGGGCTTTCAGATAGTTGCGCAGCTCCAGGGCGCACTGCCTGCACCTGATGGCGGATTTGGGGGCGCTGGGTGACTGCAGCAGCCATTTGGGCTTGAACTCGATGAGAAGGGAGCCGTCATCGCCTATGAAGGGACATTTGTTAGCACCGAGTTGGCAGACGGGCAAGACGTTGAGAGCAAAGCGGGCAGTATAGGAGACAGCGTAAGCAGACGGCTAACCAAGTACACCACACTCACCCTTTGGCCGCATGTCCTCCACCAGAAACCCCCAGGAGGCGTGGCCAATAAAAGAAGCCTGGAACTTGGGCTTGCGCAGGTGGTTAACGTCCCGAAGCATGGCGTTGAGCTCGTCCACAATGCCGGACTTGTGCAGCACAACCAGCTCCTGGTTCACGGCATGGTCGCCGAGATGTGGCTGGATCTCGCGGATGAAGAACTCCTGTTGGCGGAAGTAGTAGTCGGAGGAGGTGGGAGCGCGGCCCAGAGACGGGGCTTTGGCCACCCTCAGGAGTTTGCCTATGAGTCAAGCACAAGGCACGAATTAGCATGAAGCAGTTTGCGCACTCGGCCTTGTGTAACCACCACCTAGCGTGGACGAACGAATGGGTGAGTGCTTCGAGGCTCCAGCACGTTGCCAGGCTGTGGGGGTTCAGCCCGCTCGTTGCCATCGCCATCGAGCGTCATTGGTCGTACGGCGCCCGCCTTCTCTGAGACGGGAAAATGCGCAAAGGGAACGAAGGATAGGTGAGGTGGTCAACGTACCTTGAAACTGCGCGCCGACGCGGCTGTTGGGGGGCACCTTGATCTCAAAGACGGCGTTTGCGGCGCCTTCGCCGACCAGCCTGACGGGCTTTGTGCCTCGCGGCAGGATGCTGACCAGCGGGTGGTAGGCGCCGTCGGCGCCGTCGTCGATGCCGCTGCCGCCAGTGCTGGTTCTGCTGCCGTCGATCTTCATGTCGAGCGCCTGGATCGGGGTTGTCTGTAAATGTCGGTGTCGATGTCGGTGTCGTCGAGTTCGAGCTCGGGGCCGAGCTTGGTCGCGGCGCTGTTGGCCGTCGCCGTCGCCGTCGCTTTCGCCTTCGCCCTCGCCCTCGCCCTCGTCGTCGCAGGCCCTTTCACAGGCCTTGTCGCAGGGCTGGCCGTTGCTGCGGTCTTCGTCGCAGTCGCGGGCACAGTCGCAGGCACAGGCGCAGGAACAGGCGCATCTGAGGTTGCGGGAGCGGTCGTAGCTCATGGCGCGCAGCCGGGCCATGTCGGCCGAACTGACAGCGCCGGGAACAGCCTCATCGTCAGAGTCCTCGGCCAGCGAGTCGGCGTTGGAGGGCGAGTCTCTGCCGGCATCAGACAGGAAGTCGTCGTCGAAACAGTCGCCGCCGGCAACGGAGGACCCGTGATTGGAAGCCGAGTCGTAGAGCAGCTGGGGGGGCAGCTGCAAGAAGGCCTGCGCCTCCATGATTGGGGACGGGCGCAGGTCGCTGGACCCCGTCCTGCAGGCCCTGCTGCAAGACCTCCGCAGGGGCTGCAAGGCACTGAGTCGGGGGGGTGGGATGGCGCTGGAGCGGCAGAGTCTCAGGGAGCACAGAGGCCAGCCCAGCGGTCGAGAGGCATGGATGGATCGAGCCTAGGTAGGTGCAGATACTGTGTGTGTGTGTGTGTGTGTGTGCTGTGTGCTGCAGCCCAAGGGAGGAAGACGCCGCGTGTGACGGGCACAAGCGATATCGCCGCAAGGTGCTCGATGCGCAGGTCGCTGTCCAAAGCAAGTAGGAGTGTTGAATCCCAGGGCTATCTTGTGCCGTGTAACGCAGGTGTTCTCATCGGGGGACCTCTCGTGTTCAATTTTTCTTTTTCTCTTCTTTTGTTCTTCTGGTCTTGCCACCCCTCGTTCTTCGTCGCTTGGCCGCAGGTCGACGCCGAATGAAACGACGGGACCCAATGGTGGAGAGCAGGAGCAGCGTGGCGGCGGTTATGATCCTTGCGAGGGAATCAGGACGTGAGTCTCGCTGATAGGCGAGGCGGAAGAGGGCGAGAGGCGACGAGAGGTGCCTTTGCAGGAGATCTTGGCCGGGGTGAGGTTGCGAGAAAGGGGGAAGTGAGAAAATGTGGCTTGTTGATGGTCGATAGGTAGTTTTAAGCTTTGCGTAGGCAGGTAGTAGTAGTAGTAGGTAGGTAGGTAAGATAGGTATGGTATAGTATAGTAAGGTAGTAGGTAGTCGACGGATCGAGGACCGGAGGCAAAGCCGCCCGCTATGGCCAGCTTATTATTATTATTATTATTATGACCATGGCTGCCATTGATTGACTTGCGGTCTAAATTACACCGCTAATACCTGACAACAGGATGGACATTTGAAGGTACGCACCTTTGGCACAGGTACAAGGAGAGCCGCAGGCACGAGCAGAGCACGCCGCGAGCGTCGATGAGCAACGGCAAGCAGACCGATGGGATAGAGTAGATATACATACATACTATGTGCCGGGTCAGGCATGGGAGGCCGGTATGTATGTTAGTATGTGTGTGTATGTACTACTACAGCAGTCTAGTACAGTGGCCAGGCAGGTCGGCATCCTGTCGAGTGGCTCAGCCCAGCCGGTGATCTGAGCTGCGAATCTGACAGCTGGAACCTGATCGGAAGCCTGCTGGAAGCCACCACCACCACCACCACCAGTTTGCGTTTGTGCCTGGTGCTACAATGTTAGGTATGTACTCAAGTTCTAGCATCGATTCACCACAGCCGCGGGCATCTGTCATGGATGGTTGTATTCGTACCCAGGTACCTATGCAGTAAGTACGTAGCAGAGCGGTTCAGGCCATCCATAAGGCACCTTCCATTACATACCAACCTAGGTATTGCTGCCCACCACCACTTTCTCGCGGTGGCGTACAAAAAGGCTCACTTCAAGACCCCTCGCCGCAAACGAGGGCGGATTCCCATTCATTATTGAGGGGACTTTGGTGCCGACTTGGCACAGGCAGCTGAAGTCGCATCTAGTGACGTGCATGCCTCTCCCCTTCCCCCCCTTGACTCCGCAGCTCGCGCTGGGCTCTTTCAGGACAACGGCAGAACCGAGAGCGCGGTGGTGGTTGCTGCTAAGACGGTTCGAATCTCTGCTCGCTGCCAATCACAGCGACGAGACACCGACGACCTCGGCGGGCTTATGTATACAGCCTTGGAGCAGCTGGGAGGGGGGGGAGCAGGGCTGAACACCTCAACCTATTGTGCTGACGGCGTGCTGCTGGGATCGAGAGGGAGGGAGGTTGCACCGCTTGCGTGCGAGCCCGTCCGGGGCATCTCATAGGCGGGCGACAGGTGAGGCTGATGGCGCTTCCTTGGGCTATGCGGCCTCCTCGCGCCCTGCTGAAGCTCCTGACACGAACTGTCTCTCTTGTGTGTTCCTCTTGTCTCTCTTCTTCTGCCTTGGGATTGGGAATGTCACCGCCGCCTTTTGATGTCACGATGCCGGCGATGGTGGGTCAATGCTACCACCCATTTTACGCTGCTCAAGTACCTGCAACCTAGAATTGCTCCATCTGACACCAAGGAGGCGAGGTACTGCATACAAACCTATTCTGTCAGGTTGGCTCAGTTGAACGAGCTGATCTCCGTCGTGGGAGGTACTTCAACTTGTACCCCGTTCCGTGCTCGCAAGCTGTCACTGGCGACTTAAAGTCGTCTGCAGCTGCACCACGATCAAGTGTGCGCCTGACCGTGTACGTGTATGCATGTATGACCCGAATGTGATGCATCACAGAGCACCAGCTGTCGTCTCTTTTTCTCCATTTTCCAAAGGTGGTGTGCTACCTACCCATCTTCCTTCTATCACGGACTACGGGTGTTATCACGGAACCGATTCCAACATCTTTTGAGAAGAGAGAAGAATAAAAAAACAGACTGCTACAAGGCCGCGGATACTGTTCCAAAGAGGTACTTGTCAAGTACTGTGGCTACCCAGGAGAGGGCACCCTTTTTGCCCCGGATTTGCAGACCCTGTGATGTCATTTAGGGAGCCAGCCACATGCACTCGATAGTAGGGTTGACGTCGAGGTGCAGCACACGGTCCCCATACGAGGATCCTACTACAGTACTAAGTAGTAGCAGGCAAGAGATGCGTAAGCAACAACTTGAAGCTTGTGCTGTCGTGCGAATCGCACGGGACTTGAGTGCTTTTACATAGTGTGCAAGTGCATATGCATGTTGCTGCGATTCGGCGGATATCACAAGGTAAGCGGGATCGCAAATTGCTTGATATTGACAATGAGCAACTGTGCCTGTGTGTCCGTGCTACGAAGCAGGTGGATGAAGTCAACAAGTCTTGACGTCTGCTCCACCTCTACCTCATGGATCTACAGCAACCACCTACTAACCTATAGCTAATCTGCTACGAGTATGCACGAGCATGTATATGCACCCTGAATCGCCTGACAGAATGTTCTTCCGATTTCGCCAGAGATTTCGCTTTGTCCAAGCTGTTCTATGGTGAATTTTCCATTCACTGTTGGGTTGTATATTTCCACTGTTGTGGTTGTAGTGATTACCTATTTGCTGTATTAGTACGCCAAATTCTTCTATGCATCCGGCCAACGTTGAAATATGCCCAAGGTGCTTCCACTACTAAAGTGGCGAACATATGATACTATTCCTGTCATATTTCTCCCATCACCCAGTCTGTCCTCTCGATAAGACACGAATAGCGCCTCCTGTTCTGTCACATCCAGTCCCTCAGGTTCTTCCGCCACATTTTTTCTTCTTCGTTGCCTCTTTCGTCCCCTTGCATCGGAAATGGTGATACGGGGGACCGCTGGCACAGTGCGATTTTCCCCACCGGGCATCGCGCACGATTTGCGTTCCGGAAAGTGCCTCTGGAAAAAGGGCTGCGTTACTCCGAGCTGTTCCTGTTCCTGTTCCTCCCGGCTGGGCTTTCTCCTCTTATGCCGAGTTTGGTCAACTTTGCCGATATTAAGCAGCAGTGGTGAGATTAGCTCCTTTCGTCTCCTTATGCAGACTTGCTAGAAGATCAACAGCGCGTCGCCTGGATGCAACTGATTGGCTTTTGTCCAGGACAATTAGTGAGCAAGACGCGCTGCTGTCTCGTCGCATTACTACATGTGTTATTGCGGCAGGCCTGCGAGGACTAAAAGTACCTTAGTACTATAATCCATGGATGTGATACCTTGACTGACTCACTTGCCCTTTTGACGACATCGCAATGCCTCCACAGTACATACATACATTTACAGTACTGAAGAGAGGTTGGCGGCGTCTGTTGCAGATGCAGATCTTGGCATCCAGCTCCCTTTTATCTCCACTCACCTCATAAGAGTAGGTACATAATGCGCACTGGGTAGTAGGCATGCGAGGAGTAGGTACTATCAAGAGAGGAGAAGAAACATTCAAGGCTGGTTGGTGCCATCAAACCTCCGGACAGCCGATCGATGGGCTTGGCCGTCAGCTGATGATGCAGCAAACTGCAACAACCAAGTGCTCGCGATCAGGAGACATGCGCCGTCCAATCCGGCTAACGCTGCCGCCGTTTCGTCCTGGGGGACTGCAGACACTTAGCCCTGCATATCACTTTGCCCTTGAACAGTCGCTTATGTTGCTTGCCAGTGGTGGTGGCCATTGCCATTGCCAATCCAGCTGCAGGTGGTCAAAGTGGGCAGATGGCGAAGCTCAGCGTTCGGGGTTATCGCAGCTCATCATTGCCGGCATCCACGGCTTCAAGAGCGCTGCACAGTATCAAGCACCGTACGTGCATGTCGGGAGTTCAATGGGTCCCTTGCTCCTTATACCTAGGTAGCAGTACGGTATCACAGCAGAGGGTGCTCGGTTTCCAGTGGACGTCACAGCCCTCCCAGAGACCGCGGACGAACCCGCCTACAGCGCCCCGCTGAGCGACGGCCTAGCGGGTTTGTTTCAGCGGCTTCCAGCACCTACCGCACCATCCGTGCGTCCGCGTCGTAGCGGGTGGAGGCCCCGAGCTCCAGGGCTCCAACGCGTGAAAAATTTCCTGCCCGCTTTTCAATGTGAGGTGAGGTGCCCTTGGTTCGCTCCGCAGCTCGCTCCGAACGGCCTTTGGGCCTCAGCTCTTGCAGAAACCCTCTTAATAGCGTCATCTCCACGGCTTTTGCTGCTCCCACCTCGTGCCTCCTCGTGACCTTTGGCTCAGGACTTTCTCGCATCCGATTTTCTCTTGTTCACACCCTGACGCTCTTCCTATCCTCGAGCTTCACATCAGTAATTGGCTTCGCTTCCCTCCTCCAACCATCGCTCTTCCGTATCGCTACAATTCGCCAGAGGAACGACGCATCGAAAAAAAAAAAAAAATTGCAAACCCCTGCTGGCAAACCCCAAGCGCTTTTTCCCACGATCGATCCCCCACCCATAGAACGCAAGGGGAAAATCAAAATCAAGATCAAAATCGAGAAGAGCAGCCTCGCGGCTCATGACCACCCTG